GCGGCCCTCCATCTCCCCCACAACAAACGCGGCAGCGAGGCGGCCATTTTGAGCGAGCCTGCGCGGTGCACTCCAAGCAGACGATGCGAAATTGCCCTTATTTCGCGAATGCGCAACACCCGCGCATCGCACGGGCCCTCGGCGATTACTTACGTGTTAATAACCGACGGATACTTGTCCGGCGATCACCGATTTCCCGTGAGAATCAGCAAAAAGGTACCACCGACCACGGAAACGCGAACACCATATACATATATACGGGTCTGGAATAACGTGATTGGCTAGTGCTATTGGGGTACGCGTTATGGCGTCCACCCGATTTACGTTCTTATTGGGCCCTGAAACACGTGACTCCTGTTCTCGGTGTTCCTGGAACGATGTTGCCCACAGTTTCGGACTAACCTAAACTTACACTGATTTCTGCAGCGAAACGGTCTTCCTTCCACGTTGTTTTGACATTTCGTTTGGGTATATACATTACGTTCTTCAATATTTTTTGTGTTACGTTTCATCTCTAATTATTAACATCACATGAGGACTCAGGATCATATTTATATACTTTGAAGTTAATTCAGCTCAGATGAGGAATAACGTTTGTAAATTTTAGATTGTCGTCAATACTTACAGCTTTTTCAAATAAATATAAAAGGTACTGATTATAAGGGAGAAAATACATTTTATTTTTTTTACAATTATTACAATAAATCTAACAATATAAAAGTAAATTATTAAAAATATTTAATAGTATAAAATGTTGTAAAGCAGCTTTACATATCACATTTGGGGTGGGGTAAATTACTATACACATTAATTTGAGTGGTATTAACCAATTGGATTTTTAATTCTTTCATATGTTATTTTTAATGTAAAGAAATAATATGGTTGAATATGAAATTTGAAGAAAGAATGTTTCAGATCTTTTTTAATTTCATGCTAAATAAGGATCTTCTTCTATTAATCCAATTGATTACCACCAATGAAACATGTTTCTAGTTTTAAGCCCATGGCTTATTTTTGTTGCATAGCTTTCCAAACCAACCAGGTTCGCAAAGACATGTGTTATCAGGTTGACAAGTTCCATTTCTGCATGCTCTTGTGCAAGCTGAACGTTGCGGAGATCGTCTACCAATCTCGCAATGATCACCTTTGAACCCAGCAGGACATCTGCATACGTTATTCCCTTTACACTTTCCTCCATTCAAACAGGGTATTACACACTTTGCTAAAGTAAAATAAATTCACCATAAAGAAGTCACTGCTAATGAAATAAATTTTATTGATAAAGCTGTGCCACTTACAGAATTCACAGCGTAACCCAAAGTAACCTTTTGGACATTCACAAGTATCTTTCTGTACACATTTTCCGCCATTTAAACACTTCTCTGCACAAATACCTAAAAGTACAATTAAATATATTAATAAATACTCTAAAAATATTTTATATTTTAAATAGAAATTTTTTGAAGTCCATAGAAAACATGTTGCACTTAAAGCAGCTTGGAATTCGTTTGGCTAGTACATCTGCTGCTTCAAGAACAACTGCATCAGGAAAGTTGTTAGATACCATCATAAGAGTAGATCATGCAGGAGAATTAGGAGCTGACAGAATATATGCTGGACAAATGGCTGTCTTAGGTACAAATACACTGCAAAAATATTAGGATGTAATGATTATGATAGAAATGAAGTTAAGCATACATGCATATATAAGACAGGTAGAACTGCTGTTGGTCCAACTATTCAGCACATGTGGGATCAAGAAAAAAAGCATCGTGCTAAATTCGAAGAGTTAATTCAGAAGTATCGTGTAAGACCAACGGTTTTAACACCTCTTTGGAATGTTGCTGGCTTTGTTCTTGGTGCAGGTACAGCTCTTATGGGAGAGAAAGCAGCTATGGCTTGTACTGTAGCGGTAGAGACAGTGATTACAGAACATTACAATGATCAGCTACGTAGATTAATGGAAAGTAATGAGAAAATAGACAAAGAAATATTGGAGACAATTAAGAAATTTCGAGACGAAGAACAAGAGCATCATGACACAGGCATAGATCATGGTGCAGAACAAGCACCCTTCTATCAAGCTTTAACAAATGTTATTAAATGTGGCTGCAAAGCTGCTATTTCAGTATCTAAAGTTATATAATTTGTTAATAAGATATGTATATAATATTTAACATGTATTTTTTTTGTAACTATTGATTAAATAAAATAAAGTGAAATAGCTTGTCTGTTATGTATTTTATTTTGAAGTCAATGTACCTCCTTCGCAGTATGGACCTTGAAACCCTGGTGGACACGAACAAATACCAGGAGCTGTACAATTACCACCATTCATACAATTTGGATAACACAATGCCTTCTTGCAATGTGGAGGACCCAAGTATCCATCTGGACAAGGTCCAGGATTGGGTTCTGCAATGAAAAGTATTACACACAAAAGAATTATATTTTTGTATTAACAGTATTTGATAGGAAATTTAAATAAAATGAATTTAAATGTATTTGTTAACATGATATAATTACATGCAAAAAGTTCGTATATATGATATCAGCAGACTGACACTGTTAATGTATATTCTGATGTTCGTCTTCGGGTTACAATCAACGTTTGTCGCAAAAACATGCATCGAATAATTTTTGTCCGCTACGCCCCCTCGAATATAAGCAGATTATCATTTAATAATTGCTTCGGGTCATATAAAATCGTTCGTTAAGAGAAATTTAGGGATATCTTCAAAGCAGAACAGTCGTGCTTTGTTCGGTCAGAAAGGCTAATTAATTAATTAATGAACCAAGAAACAAAGGGGTCGTATACCGGGATACCCGCCTGGGTACGTTCACAAAATAGTTTATGCAAAACGTTATTATTCGACGTTTCTGTCGGTAGCTGCCTCTGAAGTTATCTTTACTACAATGAAAGAATTCATATCTCAATTATTTCTAAACGAAGCATGCAGCAAATTAAGCGATTAATTATTGCTGATACAGAACTGTATGTGTGAGTAGAGAAATGATGATCGTGGGCGCGATTGACGCACTCACCGCGCACGGTGCATTCTTTTCTCAGGTTAAGACGAAGGGGTGTTCCATTTAAAGGTTTTCCTTTACGCGTTTCGATCATCAGGCCGATACCCAACTGAGCTATACCAGAATTGTTACCGGAACAGGGTAACAGCACGCTAAATTCTGTGAAAAATATCGTACGTATACATATAACATCCCAGTGGTGGTCATTCGATTCATTTTAAGGAATCGAATTTATCAATCGGGTATAGTCGACGTCTACGATATAGCGAGGTCGTAAACTTATCAAAGTACACGAAATTTTAGTTTTAAAATTGCGAACTAAAGGGAAGTGAATTATATGACAACACCATCTTCCACTGGTCGCGGATTTTAATTTACGACCTTACTATTACTAGAAGGACTATTGGTTCAAAGAGCTGAAAAAATATAATTTTTATTTATAGTAATAATATTAAAAGTAAGTCTAGGGTTAATTGAATATGAAAAGAGATATTACCCTTGGGTCTCTTCGGTACTCTTCCCTGCGTTTTAATCGTGATAGATGGTGTCTTAAGGATCGACTCGTCGAACGATTTCAATCGATAAAAATTATAATAGTATTTCTTAACACCGGATTTCCATGTAAAATTTACATACGTTACTTCACTCGGAATAATCGGAAGCTTACTTTCGAATTCAGGATCCAACAAATAAGACAAGACTCTACCTTCTGTAATCGCGAATATTTCCATCTCAAGTCCTAAAACAAGAAAAGAACCGATTACACCAATTCGCTCGCTTACTTTTAATATAAAATATTAAACCGATATATTATGTATCTGCAATTCTATCAATTCTTAATGTCAAAAATAATATAATAATATAATATAATATATATATAATATTAATAGAACATCGAGATAAAAAGATAGACTAACGTTCGAAATAGAAATCGATCTTCCAAAAGGAAAACATCAAATCGATAAATGTTCACAATCGAAGAAGTCCTATTCATTTTTCACGCGAACGATTCAGGGTTCGTAATAATTAGTATATTATATTGTCAATAAATAACGAAGACCCTGAAATATTGACAAGACATGGATATATCTAACAAGCTATAAATCCATACTCTTTGCATTCTCATGATAGAGTACTTTACCCATTTACGAAATAAACAAGTATAACGGCATCGAATAAAAAAATAAGTGTTTCATACGATTGTGCCGGTACCCGGAAACCGACTTACCACTGAACATTTTGATCTGTTGCTGGTCGATCCAAAGGGAAATGTCACCGGACGGTTTGTGCCCATTGCCGGAACGATGGTGATGTCTTGCGGCCGCCGTGTCCAGGAGCAGAGCGATCGCCGCCGAGGCCAGGGCGGCTGCGGCCCACTGCATAATTAACGACGTGCCGCCAGGTGTTGCACGGTTTATGACTAGCCCCCTTGTGGCTACGTAAATCTATCTCTCTCCGCGGTTCCTGCTGCGTTTCGTCCTGCGGTGCGCGTGTCTCTCGTTTCGGTACACTTATGAGCTACGTAAATGTAGGGTCGAAGAACACGGGCGCGATTCGACCCGTGAAATTCGGGATTTCACGAGAAGACTCGACGACGCGCGGCCACGTTCTCACGCACGCGATCTAACGAGCTGACGGCCGGAGACCCGGGTGCGGTATTCAGTGGGGATCAACTTTGCGATCGAACACAAACGAACAAGCGGCCGACCGGTTGACCGACGACCAATTGCCGATGCTTCGCCCGCAGTCGCCTCCGTCGATAATGCAGCCGCCACACGGTTGCACGATCTTCGCTCAAACAAGACGCGCATACAGACGTGCGTACGGGCCGCGTCTCTGCGGCAAACTGACTGACTGACTGACTGACTGACTCAATGAGAAAAGGCCCACAGCAGCCCGTCGCGTCTTCTTGCCGTGAGATCGCGACCGAGATCTCTATCTTTCCACACAGAAATTCCCAGAACTTTGAAACTTTACAATTTTCGAACTTTAGGACTATTTTGGAATATTCGAACTTTGGGATTTTGGGAACACGAATCAGCATCTCGAATTCGACCGTAATCGCGAGCAATCGATTTTACGACCACTTAGTTACATTACGACGATCCGATTAGCGAACGATCACCGCTGATTAAATCTTTTGACCATGCTGATATAATTATCTGGACAGCGATTGTCGTGCTTCGGATTCCATCTATCTGGTAAGTTTGTGGATGATTTCATTAAAGATAGATACGCTCGTCTCGGATAAATATCAGGTATTTATCTTTGGTAAATCGGAGATTGCCTCGTCGACATATTTCACGGTCTAGCAGTCGATATCGTTCTCCTCAGGACTGGAATACCGTATACGCGGATATATGGAAATCAGATTTTGGATTAGCAAATAAGTAATTAACGACGTGCCGCCAGGTGTTGCACGGTTTATGACTAGCCCCCTTGTGGCTACGTAAATCTATCTCTCTCCGCGGTTCCTGCTGCGTTTCGTCCTGCGGTGCGCGTGTCTCTCGTTTCGGTACACTTATGAGCTACGTAAATGTAGGGTCGAAGAACACGGGCGCGATTCGACCCGTGAAATTCGGGATTTCACGAGAAGACTCGACGACGCGCGGCCACGTTCTCACGCACGCGATCTAACGAGCTGACGGCCGGAGACCCGGGTGCGGTATTCAGTGGGGATCAACTTTGCGATCGAACACAAACGAACAAGCGGCCGACCGGTTGACCGACGACCAATTGCCGATGCTTCGCCCGCAGTCGCCTCCGTCGATAATGCAGCCGCCACACGGTTGCACGATCTTCGCTCAAACAAGACGCGCATACAGACGTGCGTACGGGCCGCGTCTCTGCGGCAAACTGACTGACTGACTGACTGACTGACTCAATGAGAAAAGGCCCACAGCAGCCCGTCGCGTCTTCTTGCCGTGAGATCGCGACCGAGATCTCTATCTTTCCACACAGAAATTCCCAGAACTTTGAAACTTTACAATTTTCGAACTTTAGGACTATTTTGGAATATTCGAACTTTGGGATTTTGGGAACACGAATCAGCATCTCGAATTCGACCGTAATCGCGAGCAATCGATTTTACGACCACTTAGTTACATTACGACGATCCGATTAGCGAACGATCACCGCTGATTAAATCTTTTGACCATGCTGATATAATTATCTGGACAGCGATTGTCGTGCTTCGGATTCCATCTATCTGGTAAGTTTGTGGATGATTTCATTAAAGATAGATACGCTCGTCTCGGATAAATATCAGGTATTTATCTTTGGTAAATCGGAGATTGCCTCGTCGACATATTTCACGGTCTAGCAGTCGATATCGTTCTCCTCAGGACTGGAATACCGTATACGCGGATATATGGAAATCAGATTTTGGATTAGCAAATAAGGTGAAAAGAAATCGGTGGAAGGAACCAGTTTTTAAACATCTTTGGTCGGGGTCCTCCTCTTCGTTTCTTCTTCCATTCTCTTTCGTACCGCGTCTACTATTCCCCTCCGCGTCCCTGCCCGTCTATCTTTGCATTCGGCAAAGAGAATTCACCGTTGCAATTTGGACTTTGTTCCTGGGCTTGACACCAGCTTGCCATTGACTTATCGGCATCTTTAGCCTTCTCTCGAATCCTTCACGAGTAATCCGCGAGGTGTCAGAAATCGATCGCTAGTGAACGATCGAGAACTTTTGGCGAAACGAGGTTATAGGCCACGAACAATGTCGTGACAAGGGAGGGGGACACTGCTGAGTTTCGAACGCCTATTGACAAGTATAAAATATAGTCGATCAAAATAATGAATTAATTTTGACTTTCGAATATTTTACTTTTTAAATATAACATATTATTCGTACGAATAAAATATATAAAAGCTTTTAGACAAAGCTGACACGAGCAAAAACATTCGTTCAGGTTAATTTAATATAACTATCGAGAAAAATGTTCGGTGCACTGTACGGTTATGTCCAATCGAAATATATCGAACTGAATGCTACCGTACTGAAATATATCGAATTGAACGTACTGAAGAGTGAAATCGAATCGCGTTAGATTAAAACACATAATGGCGTCGGATCGAATTGTATAGTATCGAATTGTGGGTAATTGAACTGCGTCAAATTGATTCACATGGAATTGAATCGTGTTAGATTAAATTATGCAGAATTGAATCGCGTGTAACTAAATCCGATCGAAATGAATCGCTCGCTTAGTTTAAACGCACCCTTACCGAACGAAACGGCAAATTTGAACGCAGTAACTTCATCGTTCTCACCGTCGAGTGTTTCTTGGTACGGTATTCTTACTATCAAATGTTAAACCGCATTTCCATGTTCGTTTTGCAATCCATTACAAAGGCCGGCTTGTTAGGTGCCATGACATATACGACATGCTCGATTTTACACTCTGACGCTTGTGGTCGATCAAACCGCAAACATTTTTCGCGCCTCACAGAGACGAGTAACTTCTCGCAACACGATTGATCTTCTGAGAAACATACCAGATCGCCAGAAACTTTCTACAAACAGGTGCAGACGACGAAAGGCACATCATACATTCGAGACATGTACTGGGCGTCTCTGAACACCATACACGATTGGTAAAGAATAAATTGAAAACTTTCTAATGATCTTTGATTTTGAGAATATGAACGGAAAGATGGCTGTAGTAGTGGTACAGGTCCATTAGATGTCTAAAAGGACTTTCGGTGGGTCATATAGCGAGAGAGCATTTTATACATAAAATTAATTATTTTCATATATTATCATTATATCAGAATTCTCTAAAATTTAAAAAAACTTACATTTGAATATCTGCTAACGATGATTTATTAAAATTTCAGAAATTACGGAGAGGTTGCTATGAATTTTGGAAAGAAGTCCCAGATCCTCGTTGAATCGATGAAGACTCTTCACGGTATCGAAATCGGCGCAAAAATAGAAAACAAGAGCATAATAATGGGATACTCTGCGACTGCATTACTATTTCTGACTACGGGTTCGGATGGAACCCGGACGATGAATAATGCATGATGCGCGATAGACGCGCTACCAGAGATCGAGTTTTGTGAACATCGAACTGTCTTTGATGGATCTCCGTGTCTTAGTAAAGAAGCCAGACATTTAATTTGCCAGTTTCAATCGTATTACCGTGACGAATATAACGAACGACTATTCGTATTTTCCAGATTTTTCTCCACGGGGTAAATCGTCCGCGTGAAATGTAAATTAATGGTGGAGACTTTCGGACGAATGGTTAAGATTTTCACGGCGACTCAAAAGCATCAGGGCGATATCTTCATTTTTAAAGGTCAAATTGGACGGTCCCCGAGGGACTATGGGGGCCGTTCTCCGGATCCATCGAGCAACAGGTTTAACAGATCGCTCAATGAATAGTTGATAATAGTGTCCATTGTGGGCCGCGTGTCGAGGGACGTTCCATCTAACAAATGGCCCATTGTTATCTCTTACGGCTGTTCGGTTTTTCTCTCCCTCGTTTTGTCCTTGTTGCACTGTGCGGTGCACGAAACGGGCGTGTGTACAGGGTAATTCAGAAAAGAGAAACGATCATTCACGCCGGGAACTGTTATTACTCGGTTTCGAGCTCGATTGAAAAATATGCCCCGTTTATAATGGCGCTCTACGCCGGCGAAACGGCTCCGGGCGTTTCGTTAGCTTAAAGAGAACCGCGTATACAGAGATAATATTCTTTTCCGTGAGGGTAACAGAATCGTATAATAACACGTTGAACTGTTATTTTTTTTGCAGATCAGGATCATGATTTCGCGTCGTTCTCTTTTTTCTCCGCGTGGCGTAAGTGGCGACGAGAAAAGAAAAGGTGGAGTTGGAGATAATCGATTTCACGGGTATCGGAATCTCTTGCGGGGTAATAAATTTTTAAAGGCTCGGTATACGTGTCGGGTTTCTAATAGCCAAGCGAAATTAAAGGATATATTCGATAAACGTTGCAGGAGAATCGAGCTGTATATTATACAGTATGCCGTGGAAAGCTGCTGCACCGATACAACGAATACAATTGATCCAAACGTGTATTATACGCTGCTCACGAACGGGGAAGCAAGCCTCGCAGAACCGTCCTCTGAGAGAGAGAGAGAGAGAGCAGCCAGTGCCGGTTTATTCCCGATCGAATGTTTTTGCTCGACCGTCGCAAACCTAATTGGATTCGCTACAAAGCACGAGCAGTCGTATGTACAACGAGCATTACGCAAAATCATGTAGTCCTCAGCTTTTTAAACGTTGATTCATCGACTGGTCTCGTGTTTGAAGCTGCATCGCAGAGCGTCACGTTCGATTGGTCCTGCGGTACGGAATCGAATTTGCAATTGGTTAAGGAGACCTCGGACGATCGATATACAGGGTGTTACGTTTACGGTAGCTCGTAAGCTTGCACTTTTGAATATAGGATCGTTACTCCCAGAAGCATAATTAGATCGTTCCCATAAATTTCATTGCCGTATCTTTTAAATTGACCGATAGTTGGTAAATCAGGTTAGGTCAAATACGGTCAACTAACCTGATCTGACCCTAACTCTAATCGTCAGTTAATTCATGATGGCATTCCTGAAGACCGTATAGTGGAGGGATCATTTTATGTCTAATTACTAAAAAGTGATCAGTATATATTATCCTGAATATTATACGTTATAATAGGTATATATTATAGAAGATAATCATATATAAGCTAAGAGATAATGAATTTTATTTCGTCGTATTAAAATGAAGATCAATATATTGATCGCTTGGATTAAACTTAAAGCTGCTCATCACAATTTTCCCTTAACGCAGCAGTCTGCTAAAAAGGATTATTCTTGCTTGCTGTTTAGACGTAATTACTTTACAGTAATTAGGTGGATTTCGTTCGTTTTATTTGTAACGCGAATTGAAATTACGATTCCGTTGAGTTACCACGCTGGTCAAGACAACGTACGCCTTCACGATGCGTTCGTGTACACACGATATCAACTTATCGCTATAATTCTTACCTTGCAACGTACTCGTGCGTCCGATTGGCGTGTGCAACTCGTATATACGATCTTTCTCCATCGTACGCATCGACCTTACCTCCTCTTCTCCCGCAGGACACCACGCACACCTTCCTGGTCACACACGGACACGCGCAGCTTCTCCAGCAAGCAACCAGGCGCTAACGTCGATGCATGTATAGCTGACGACGGTCAGCAGCGTGGTACATTTCTGCGTCGTCGGCTTGTCTTCCCCTTTCGTTCTTTTTCTCTTCTGTTCTCGCTAGAAATGCTCGAATGCGCGCAATGGCGAAAGAGAGACAGAGAAGGAGATACGTTGACAGAGTGGGGTAACACTGAAAGATAGGATTAGCGAGGAGGGTAAAGGAACCGGCGAAAGTAGGAAAACTTAGAGAAAGAAAAGAGCATAAAAGAAAGGTTGACGCGAAGAAAGACGGAGAAAGGAAACGGTAGAGGAGGAAAGAAGACAACGGTGTGAGAAAGAGAGGAGCACAGGTAGAAAAAAGGGAGAGCGACTCACGAGAGATCAAGTTAGAGTACCAGCACAAAAAACCTGTCCCGCATAATTACATTATCGGTCACATCTCGTTCGACTTCTGTCCGCGCAGCTTTTGCTTGCCTGACCAAATGCGCTCCCGTACAACATATAGGCCTCGGTCCTCGAGGACGATGCAACAAGGACTCCTCTGAAACCGCAGGAGGTCCCTGTCTTGTGCTTTTTTACACGATATCTTTTCTACGACCTTCGGAAGAAACATCGAAGCTTTTTGATAAATTAAAACTACACTGTGCGACAATTTACACAGCGAAGTTATAAAAAGACAAGTTGCAGAACGACGCCAAAATCAACATATTCAAATTTGGAACACCTGAAATTGCATCGCGCCGAAATCGAAACACTTGAAACTTGTAATTTTTCAGAAGACGAGAACGAAACCATATAGATTGTTTATTTATTTATTTATTTATTTATTTTTGTTTTTATTGACATGGGAGATGTTATACAGGCATTGGAATGCGCGTTATCGTAGTTACTGATAAATGATCGAACATAAGACGAATCATTTTACATTTGACAGAACGTTGTAACGCAATGTATAGTGTATCCTCGATCTCTTTCGCGCTACGAGGAGATGAAAGAACCTTCAACCAGGTTGCTAAACCTTTCTGCAAACTCTACTCCGTAGAAAAAATATTGAAACGACGGTACCGCTAGAAATATACATTAAGAACGTGCCTCGTTCAACAGTCGAGAGTTTCTTTATGGATCTTTCTATCGGGAAACGTATTAGTATCTTAATAGTAATGAGATAATGTACACTGGCGAGCATGGTAAGCTTCCCTAGAGAAAATGGCGATGGAAGGAGGGTCATTCGTTGATTTTTTAATTGATGAATAAATTTAGAAAATTTTCAAGATCGCATGCTTGATCCCATAACGTTGAAGATAAAAGTAGAAGATTCCCTACGTCTATTCGCAACTAAAGAAAGTTTACTTTGCTCACGAGTGTACAGTGAAAAGCTAGCATGTACGATAGGCGCACACATGTTCGTCTTTTTGTCGGCGTATAACATTTTCTTTTCGTTACTTTTGAAACAGTTTATTTGTACGCGTAACATGTGCTGTCCTCTCGTTGTAAAATGAACACTGTTTCTCGTAGAAAGTCATTTGTATCGCGTTCTTGGTCTGTGCTAATTACGCTAACACAGTGTTACTTTCCCGACGTTTTAACTAAAATCGTTTGAATGCATCGTTTAAAAACAAAGAATCAGATCAAACACACGAGGTTCGTGCTAAACGCTTATGCATATTTATCGTGAATACGAAAGAACGTCTATATATTAATAACGAGCGAAATAATAAAGAAAAAAGTATCAAAATATAATATTAAAAAGTATCAAAACACCAGTTACACGTACGAAAGTATTGGAAGTATACGTAAGTTACGAGACGCGTTTCATCCAAACGGAGAGATTAAAAAATCTTAAAAGGACGTGGATACGGATAGCTGAAAAAATGTACAGAAGATACTACGATTAGAAAAATACATTAAAACGTAACCGCATACTTTTCTGATTGACTTGGACGTCCATGCTCATTCTGGCAAATACATCGTTCGATATAAATTCGCCATCAATGATGCTTCAATATATTACATATATGTCTCTGTATCTTCTTTTTTATATATCTCGGTATTTTTACAATAAATTATTATTTTCTTTAATTTACACTACGTTCCTTTCTTGATTTCGTAGGCGCCTACATATGTACGTGTATATATATATATATATATAATATATATGTATAGAGTTCGTAAAAATTACATACACGACGTCCAAGCCATTTGTACAGGATAATCGGCAAAAAAGATCCTGACAAATATTTAATTAAAATCTATAGTTTGTCGTTAAACGAAATTTTGAGACTTTATTTTTTTTTAACGGTATAGCATAGAGCATGGTAGGCTTCAATAGAAAAAATGGCAATATAAGATGAAGATTTACTAATCGCTATAATACTTAAGATTTACCACGTATTATGGCTAGGCTTGCTTTATTCAAATAATTCGAATACGTCGATTTGAAATTCTACTTGTATCCGAATGATTCGAATACGAATATTGGAGGATCGATCGAGGTCAACGCCTGTATGGCAGTGGTCTTCTTTTAAATTGCCATTTTTCCTAGAAAAAACCTAAAATGTTCCGAAATGTACAATACTAAAATTTCGAAGACGAGTTGGAAGAATAATTACTATTTCATTCGACTTTCCATAGATTCAGAGTATATCATATACATTTTTACGAACTTTACGCGTACATGTATATAGTTAAATATTCCTATATTTTGTACCTTTTTTTTATTTTTGTACCTGATATATTTGTTCACGACACTTTTGCTGACAACCTGTACATTGCATTGAATACATTAACTTAACATATAGTAAATAAAAAACGTACATTTATCCTTGCAGAAATCAACGAATCTCTATCATTTCGTAATAACATTTTATACACTAAAAAACGCAATAATAGCTGTCATCGTGTGATCGCATTCTTTTAAGACTCTAATTATTTTAATTAATAATCAATATAATATATGTCTCTATATATTTAATACTTTATATATTAAATAATCAATACTCTATACTCATTATAGATTATAATAAAATTACCAAAAGTAAAGTAAACTTTAATAAAAATAAAAGGACTTTCATTTCTCTTTTCTTTAGCTAAAGCACGTTTCACATACAAAAAGCAACAATTAGAGGCCATGTGACATTTTTTTTTAACTACTATAGTGCATGTACAATGTTCTTTTTAATATTATACTAGTAATAATAATAATATCTTTCATATATTTTTGTTGTTCGTGTATCGTTAATGAAAGTGCAAGTGCACAATAGTTATATAGTCACCGATTCGTTATATTTGGCCCTCTGTCGGCAGAGTAAAAATTGATTGCATCTAAAGATTTTTAGAACAATTTCTCTTGTTTTTTTTTTCTTTAGTTAAAAATTAGATTCAGTCGAAGCCAGATTGTGACACTATTCTCAAATATCAGTCCTTCCGTTTTCAAGATTGCATATAAGCAACATCAGTCTGTACGGTGTATAAACTAATTTTGGGCAATACGAATTATTGATATTGATTGGATGGATGTGACCCTATATGCAGCCTTAAAAGTACATCGTGATTTTGTGCCGTACAGTAGCGAGCATGGTAGGTTTTCTTGGGGAAAGTAGCGACGAAGGAAATAAAATCACCATTTGTTGGTAAATTTTTAAACTTAGAAATTTGGAAATTCCTTTCCTCGGCATCAATCTTAATCCAAAGAAAACCCATATTGCAGCCTTCCGTACCTACTTAGAACAATATAAACATAACTCGTATACCCTGTGATTTTAGCGTCAAATCATCAATCTGGCTTTGTCAAAAAATGTTACTGTCGATGCTAGAATACTTTCTACTTTATCATGTTCGTAAATAGCTTGCACGCTATGAAACACCTATATCGTCTTTGGGTTTTATAATTAATTTAAGACATTTTAACAAACGTATCATTTATAAATCATTTTTGATCAACTAACAAATTATGTACCCGTCAAATACACGCAATAAGTGGATGAAATAATTATTACAGATCAACTTGAGATACTAAAAATTATTAGGAATACTCGAATAACACATCTAAAATGTATTAAACAGTTAAAGGGGAATCACTCTAAACGATACGAATATACAAACGTTGTGCATCACTTGTATATTCCTAACTGGCTCAATATAGAAACATTTTACTTATCCTTCTATGTAAACTATAAAACCCAAAACCAAAATCTAATTGGCAGTATAGTGTTGGACATTGCGCCCAGCGCAAGGTGCATAGCAGAGCTGCTGCGGCTTAGTAAGGGCTGGTAACCTTACTTCTGACAGAAAAACAATTTTTTTATGCGGCTCGAATAAGATAATGGCAGAGGTTACACGTATGTGGCCATAGTGCCGCTTGGAATGGGCGGTGTTTCTTCTGGTCTACCCTTGGGTCCATATTGTCCAATGAAAGAACCGTCCTCCGTGAAACGTCCTTTAACAAAATCAGAATTCCAATTCAATGTTTGATATTTCAAGACGTAATCTCGCACGGGTATGATGCAATCGTATTGCTGTTCGTGACGGAATGCATAATGTAACCTACCTTAAACTAACGTAGCAAATGCTTGTGAATTTGGTTCTTGCTTACGGTGTCGACCATACTGACCAATGAATGATCCGTCCTCGTTCATACCTTCTGTATTAAATTAAGCGATAAAGCAAATAAAATAAAAAATGAAACTTAATAGAAATTAAATTGATAAATCAGGAAAAATAAATAATGTGTAAACGAAGGCTCTATTCTATATATGTAACGTGTATGTTATTTATAGTGAAATTAAGCTATAATTCTGGGCAGAATTGTGGGAGCAAAAACAATTAAGATTAAGAAAGAAAGGTTACAAAAAATTTCTAATAACGAAGTAGCACCAATACTAAACATAAATAAGGGAATTTGCGTATATATTGAAACTGTAAATCCTAATATTTTTGTTAGATGTGCTTCGCATCTGCATTCGTGGGAATTGGTGCATACTCTATTAAAATCTACCTATACGTACCTAAATTGTATGATTACTATAGCTGAACATAAATTGACTTGTATTTTAAACTGACCTGTATCTCCCTCTCCGTATTCAGCCATGGAATCGGTGTCCGACTCCGGATGCTTTCCATCTTGATGAGAAGACGATGCCAAAGATGCGCGACCACCTGCTGATTTAGTATCTAAAGGTTGCGAATATTCATGGAATCCGCCTTCGTCCGGATAGTCACCGCGACCAGCTGCCAATTCTCTCTCGTGCACCGCGTACTTTCCACCTCTGTTACGTTTTATAACGCACACGATTATAAGTACCAAAAGAAGGAAGGCAATCGCGAGCATCATTCCTATGAACCATCCAGCTGTTGCGACATTTTCTTTAGGCTGTATGATAGGTCCTTCGCTACTTGTTTCCACTTCCTGCGGTTCGCTTTCCGTTAAATAAACTCCGTCAACGGCAACGACGGACATTACGTAAACTTCACCGCTTTGAAGTCCACGTATTTCGATCGTGTTCGATTGATATTCCGGCTCCGTTTCGGCCGATATCGTTTCGCCTTTGAGCTTGTACTTCACAAAAAAGTGGCTGCCTGGATTTCCATTGAGGTTCAGCTGCCAAATAATTCTAACGTTCGAATATCCGTTCTCTTTTGGAATCGATTCCCAGGTAAATTGAGGCACATCTGGGCGCTGAGACGTACGCGTCTTCTGTTCGATGAAGTAACTGAAAGAAGATTAAGAAGTATGTTGTATTAAATAGACAAATCAATCTGTAACGGTAGTTAATAAATTGATGGACTTACTCGTTTCCTTGGCCAACTTTCGTCGTAGCCCGAATGTGTACACGATATTTCGTATCGGGCGCTAACGCAGCCAATTTCGCACTTGTGGCTTCTGGATCCGTTATGTGCGGTTTCCTCTCTAATAGAGGCCCTAACGTAGTTCCATTTACGAGTTCGTAATAAATTCTGTAACCAGTCAGGTTACCATTCGGTTCAGCAGGTTTTGTCCACACTAAGAACAAAGCACTGGAACCCATTGGGAACGCTTCGAGACTGAGAACCGTTCCTGGAACTCCCTCTGGTGTGTCAAAACTCAAAGTTTCAGAAGGTGGTCCAGCATATCTAACGCAAGTAATTGACATTAAACACACAGGTACGCGTAAATATTCATTAATTAACGATATAATTATTATTACCGGCCATTATACGCTAGTATTCTAACGTAGTTCTTGCTAAATGGAACAAACTTGGTGACTAATGCGTGGGATCTGTTCCCACCTCTTATATCGATCTCTCGCAGCCCCTTCTCGCCATCCTTCTCCGTCCACGTTTGAATTTTGTATCCTTGTAATTCGCCCCGCACTGATTCCTCGGGAACAGGGTTCCAAGAAAACTGTGCACTTGTGCTGGACTTTATTTGATTCAGTGTGAAGTTAGTGGGTGCTTGTAGAGGCACTGTAATTATTATAATTTTTAATAACTGTTACTTCAAAAAATATTCATTAAAAGTATATTTTTATTAAAAACGAACCATCTTCTCCAGAGTATCCAGTTACTTCTTCCGGCGCAACTCTACATTCTCCTCTAGCATTGATAGCCACAACTTTGATCTTGTATCTTTGATAAGTAGGTTGATTGTCTACCACTAAACTATTCTTTTTCCAATCCTGTATGTCCTCTATGGTCCACTTCTCTCCTGGTATGTCCCGTCTATAATATACTCTGTACATGAACTTCGGTGCATTGTGCTCGATTTGTGGCATCGCTGTCCAGGATATAACGAGATTTTGTGGCGTGGTTCCTTTACCCGCGACATTGTCCGGGTTCTTATAAGGAACGTCTGGCAAGGTGGTGCACACATCACTGTGCGGCGATGGTAACGACGGTCCTATGAAAAATATCGACACGTATAATTACTAGATAATTATTTTCTCATTTTTTAATTCTTACCTATTTTATTCCACGCTAATACACGGAACGTATAATTCGCCCATGGCGACATTGGAACGACATAGGTTTGTTCAGTGGCTGGTACGGCATCTTTAGATATTTCCCACGTGTCTGGTGTGAAAGTGGTGTTATACTGAATGGTATATCTTAAGATAGAAGCCCTATTATCACCCATAGGCGTCCAATGTACGGAAGCTTCGTTTTCCATACATTTAACGCTAAGTAATTTCGGCGGGTTCGGTACATCTTGAACAATCAGCGTTGCTTGTGCTTTTGTCTCGTCTAACTCTGTACGTGCGACGCACGTGTAAGTACCAGAATCTAATTCAGTCGTTTTTGTGATCATTAAGGAGTAATCGGTGCTTCGTATGAACCGTGGTTCCATCTCAAAGTCTATAGGTTTTCCATTGGATAACCAATCAATTGTTAGAGTCAAACTTGAATCTGTAACAGCATTACACCTAAAACAAAATGCATTATTAATACATTTTCATGTCGATTCAAAAATGAATTACAGTAGAATCTCGCTACATGACTCTACAGAGCGCAATACTAGTTTACCTAAATGTTGCAGTAGAACCTGCAGCAACTTCATAATCCTCAGGTTCATCCGTGATTCTCGTATGTTCTTTCACTACCAAATTACCAGTCGCCTCTACTTCTCCAAATTTATTCGAAGCGTGACACGTATAAACACCAGCGTCCAAGAATATTACATTTTCAATTTCTAAATCCCCGGAATCTAAAGTTTTGTATCGTCCTCCGGTTAATTCTTGACCTTTCCGTATCCATTTTACAGCTGGTTTTGGTGCTCCGAACACGCGACAAGTGATTCTTACTGTTTTACCATCGACAGTAGCCATGTCCGCCGGTGGTTGTATAATTTCAGGCTCTAAAGCTAACACGTTTACATATACATCTTTGTATACATAACCTAATGAATTAGTTGCATTGCAACCATAATTTCCCGTATCTTTCTTGGTTAGTTTTTCTATAATGATGGAATTCGCTGTAACTTTCCTACGCGGATTCGGTGGTGCTTCAGATATCGGTTTGCCATTATGAATCCATTTAATTTCAGGAGTGGGTACTCCACTAGCTGCGCATTTGAATTCAACAGTCTCGTCTTCAGCTGCATTTATAATTTCAGGTTCAATAGTGAAAAATGGTACTGCCATTACTTGCAAGTTTATAGAGTTTGATTTCGCATCTCCTACTCCGTTAGATGCCTCACAGGTATACGTTCCTTCATCTTTGAAATTGACATGTTTGATTATCAACGATTTACCGTAATTCCCTTGCGTTATCCTATCGTTCGTTTTAATCGGTTGACCATTTTTGCTCCACACTATTTGCGGCAATGGTGTTCCACCGTATATGCAATATAATTCGATTTTATTACCGCGTAAGGCAACTTCATTTTTTCTACTAACATACTGTTTGACGGGTTCGTGTTTATTTTGACTAGCTGACGTTCCGGAAGAAATAACGTGTAATAAAACTCTATTTCCTATTTTGTATTCGTTTCTATATAACGACGTGGCAGCACACGCATAATAAAAATCATCAGAGGCATCGTATCTGGTTACATTACTGAACCAAAGATTACCCTCAGGATCTAACGTCATTCGCGAATTATTGATCGATTTGATGCTTCCAGCAATATTTTGAATCATCCAATATACGTTTGGTTTTGGCCAACCATCTGGCGGTTGACAGGTTAATTTAAATGGCTGTCCTTCATTAGCATCTAGACTTATGGGATTTTCATCTTTGAATGAATTTAGTTCAGCTTTTCGAACAAAAACAGAGTTAGATGTTGCTGTTCCCCATTCATTCTCTGCAAAACACTGGTACTGGCCCAAATCTTCATCTCGAGGTCTTGAAATAACTAGTGTGCCTCTACCTGGCTGCTGAGATATACGATCATCATATGCTGGCCACTCAAAATTTTTTCCATTTTTAATCCAGCGATACCTAAATAAACCAAAATGATAAAATTAATAAATGCAATGTAACATTCATTCAATATAATTTAACAGGAAGACAATTAAAACTGATTATTTCAGTCCAGTTTAATGTTGTATATGATTATCTTGTATATTATACAATATATAGTGCACACATAAATGTCGCATTGTTTACTGTTTTTCAATGCGTTTGTGACCACTCCCATACATCTACAATTTATACCACAAGTAAGGTATCTTTATCAGTACTGGTAACTTTATACCCCCTAAGTCTATGAGGTCATCCTGGTAATTAAGACCAGTTACTCTGGCTTCTTTGCAGGATAGAGACAGCATACTTAAGTATAAGTGCAATGAAACTACATGAATGAAATTTATCTGGAAAATGTTTCTCATTCTTTGAAAATTAATCTGAACAAAAAATTACTCTTGTTTACATAGGAATTGTCAAAGTTTTTGATCAAACAGAAATGAAACAAAATATATTTATTTTTCACTTAAATTAACTTTACCTCGGTGCAGGTTCTCCTTCTGCTTCACATTCGATTAAAAACGGTTTGTCATTCTCATTAATCTTTGCTTGAGCCACTTGAAATAACTGCTCATCTGTCGGGGGTTGTTTGGATATCCGTGGTGGAGATTGGACTAATGAAAGATACAAATGACAATGATATAATATAGCAACTATGCAAAGTATCATATTTGTATGCAGTCTATTGAATTACTTTAGCAACTACATAAAACTAAGAAAAATAAATATAATAAAGGGCTAAATATAAGGATTGGGACATAATGAAATTAAAAAATTCTTTTATATTTATTACAAATATTTTTTCAATTAAATACATACTATAATTACATTCAGGTAAATTTAGTATGTAAGCAAAATATAAAATTAAAATTTGCAATCACATAAAATTTTAATAAAAAAATGTCTACGACATAAAACTCTTTTTTAAATAAATAAAGGTAATTTGTTTCTAGCATTTGCTACAATTTTCACCTCCTATAATATCCACGACACGGACTATAATTAAAAATTACGAAATATTATGAAAAAACCTGATTAGCTGCATCATGTGTATATAATATTTCGAATTTTTGTGACATATACAATAATGTGTCCCAGAATATCCTTTAGCTCGAAATCGAAATGGGACAATAAGGGAGTAACAGAATTGTAATTCAAGCTTCGCAGCTCATTTAGTAGTTTGCCGAACAAAGAAAAGAACAACGAGCAAAAAGGATTTAAAGAGAAGAGGGATTTAAATCCTAGTGTATCGATTATTTTTCTGAATGAAAATATTTATAAAACAAATTATTATAAAAATATACGAAATATCGAATTCCACCGGTTCGGACAATGTGGGAGACATTACTGTAAAATGAGATGACGGAATTGCACTTACTTATAGCCGACGTCTGCAGTATCAGTGTTGAGATGACGCACACTATGAACTTCATGATCGGCCGGTATTTTCTCAAGCTAGAAATAGAAAAGTATTCATCAAAACATCAAAATTTGGTGTTAAATGATTTCTACTTCTGAACGACATAAATCATAGATTCACACCTCTATACATTCGTCCTTTGAATCTTTACAATTCAAAAGAATATACCAAATGAAATCACGACAGCCTTTGCAAACTTTATTCGCATTCATAAGAGATCTTTTTTTTGTGCAACGTCTGAACCACTTCGTATAAACTGTACAAATCATCACTTGAGATAAACAAATGAAATTTCGGAATTTCGTAAAAATATTACCCGATGATGCATACACTGTTGCTAATGGAGACGCAAAAACTGGGCGTGCTCTTCGCGGTATAAGAGAAACCAAGAATAACAAATAAATTAATTCGAAGTTTCTCAGAAGCTAAAGACGTATTGTTTTCGGATTCGATCAATTCGAAACAGGTCCACGGAATGTTTAAAATTCTGGTATTTTAGGATTTTTTCATCTTCGATTTTCACATACAAATAATATATTCGACTGTATAGCTAAAATACTATTGTCAATCGCATGGTTTGTTTTTGCCGGGAAGCGGAAACTAATCTTGCGATATCCCATACTTTATTGGCGACGTAATATTCATATATCCACGCAATATTGCGTACAAGTTTGACAATGCAAAATTTGTCGGTGATAAATATCCAATTCCGTACTACATTTAAATCCGTTCACGCGATATCGCGTGATAGATCGTTGGCGCGCAATCGTTGTGGCACACAACGATCGACCCATTTCTCAGCTTCGGCAGCAAACTAGTTCACACGTTCATTGCGGAAACAATTAATAATATTAATATTATAATCAATAATATTACATTATTGTTATTGGAATGAAACTGAGTCACGTTAGATTTAATTAATGTTACTGACATTAATCAAAATGATAGAAAATTAGTATCGATAATGTTAGATCTAGGTTAACACGTTCACTGCGAACACAGTAGATTCACATTTGATCTACTTAATCTTAATATTGTCAATATTAAAAATAGTATTAATGAAGTGTGGCACATATTTGCGGCATCCATAACAAACGTAGTAAATGAAATGATAAGTGTATAGTTATTAATACCAAGCAGGAAGTTAAGAACAGCAAAATTCGTAACCATCAAGAGTACAGATAACTGTTCCATATATGTATATAATTTTAATGATTAATGGATCAAACATGTGTCAACCGACCGGCTAATCATGCAGCAAACCACAAATATAGAAAATCTACTTCTTAAATTGAAAACTAAGAAATCACGAATAAATATAACATATAATAACAAAACTCGTTTTCGGATCGCGCACGATCGTCGAAACAGGTGATGGTGTTACGATGATCTCACCAAAGTTGTCCTTCGAAATCATAACATAGTAAAAGTACATAAAATGAAGATTTTTACCACTGTTTTACTCAATCACCTTTCCACACTGTCGTCCTTTTCATGCAGTCTTGCAAAGAAACAGTATCGATCGGGCGTTAGTTAGAAATCGGATTTCTCATGGGGACCAAAAGGGAAAAAGGGAACACACGGGGCTGGGCAACGGGCACACCCGCGAACCAACATTGATCGCCGACGCTGCTCGTTCCTTTCGTGAATTTCGCACGATTTCTACCTAGGCGCCACTTTAATGCAATATTTCACTTTTTCATAATAAATAGCTCACCTATCTCAATATTTTAGGAAGTGTTCGAACGTTAAAATCCCATCATCACCAAGGCATCATCAAAAAACCACTGACTCGTACACGTAACGCACCGTACGGTACTGTACTACTGTAGATGTGCACAGTTGCATGTGTTGCAGACTCGACCCCCACCACTAGCCACTTTTACGGATACACTGATTCACACCGATGCATCCTCGCCTGAACTTAACGGACCCCTCACACGGAGCTGTTCTACGAAAAAGCTTGACATTTCGAAGATCTTTACGAACAACTATAAATACTTTATTCGATAAGGTAGTGCTTAAGTAAAATTTTCATTCAACACTTGATTAAGCGTAGTATTCTTTCGATCTTATTAGAAAATTACAGATTTGTTAATGAATTTCATTGAACGATGTGAATGTTCCTTTACAGAAGTGAGTGTCCTGTAACCAATAACGGTCGAGCATGGACTTAGGAATATAGAAACGAAGTATAAGTTAGGATTGACGGCTAGGAGAGTGAGGCCAACATGGGAGGGGGGACCTAATAGCCGATGCCCAAATTTGATTGGTTGCCTTTAAGTGTATGTTCTGTACCGCCAATTATGAGAAAGTTGATATCACTGATTAACACAGGTTGATAAAAGTGTGTACCCTTTCAAATTTTTAACTTTCCAAAGTTATAAATTACAAATTTACACATTTTTTAATGTACAAATTTCAAATTTTCAACTTTAAATTTTCAATTTGTAGTTGCACCAAATATCAACCAATAAAAGATAGGCTTTGATTTTCCTTATCCCCTCTCAAAGAATGGTCTGTTCTAATATTCTTAGATCTATACAATTCTAACAAGTCGCGCCAGATTCGAAAAAGGCGCGCCCCCTAAGTAAACGTTGATTCTATGTATAGGACGCTAAAGTGCAGCTGCGTATACTTTGCAAAAAGGGGGAAGAGGACACATTTTAAAATTGACACAGGTTAAATAAGGGTAACTGACGCGTCGTCATTCAAGCTGCGAGATCTACTTTCAATATATAAATACGGTGCACTATCATTACATAAGAAAATATATGAAACAGTACACTGTATCCTGAAACAGTTAAAGACGAATGAAGTTTCATTGAATACTTAATGATTTGTTACACATCAACCAGAGGTATCTTGATATTTCTTAAAATAATCATAGATACGGTTACATGGAAACAGTACACGTTCTAATCTTTCAACATTCGTTGCACAGATATAAATATTGTAATAAGATAACTTTACTGGAAGAACCAATAACGGATTCTCTTTCTGATAAGAAATACGTTTGTGTAAATTTAAACCTTCGATCGAAAACTGGGTACAACGATGTAGGTCAAGCTGTATTCTACGAGTTAAATGCATGTTCAGCAAATATGTTTAGTTGCATTCGGTGAAGCCAAAATGTACGAACTATCATGTTCTATACTTCGCATACAAATTATGTTAGCAATTACGCTTGTAAACATATTTGGTCTTCGGGTTAGTTCCGACCACACATAGAGGGGTAACGAGCGTTGCTTACAAAGTACTCCGTCACCATTTCTTTTGGTTACGATTGATAGGATAGAACACATTGGGATGAGCTGGATGAGATACTAAATAAGTCGATGTTGACTTCCAACAAGAACTTACTGTTCATTCTGAATGTTTTATTCCATTCGTTAATACTATGTCGCGTGTAATTAAAACATTGAAATATGATATGTATGATATGTACTTGAAAAATCATAAAGATTTTATTTTCATTGTATCCATACAATAAAAATTACAATTATGAATTACAAGTTAAAATATGTACATGCACGTCAAAACATATTTCTAAATAACTGTCCATTGATACTTGTTAATTCATTTGTAATTCTAGCTTAACATAGTATCTGTAGTACACATAATTTGGCAAAGTTTCAAAAAGTACAGTCTAGTACATAGAGCGTGTAAGAGCATTGTTGCAAATTTAGATTGGGGTAAGGAAAAACGACGATCCCTTAAATCTATGCGTTAAGCTTAACTTAGCTGAACCCATACAGCTGCATAATATTTTCAACTATGTATTGATTTTTTTTATTGTCAATATACAAAATAAAAATTTAACTAGTTTATACAAATATTAATAATAATAATACTAATAGTACAAAAAGAAATTTGTAAGTAAAAGATCTGTTTTTGTACAAATTTGATACAATTAAAAAAAATATTCTTTCAATATTTTAGGTACTCTTTCTGATTATCTCAATCAGTTTAGTTAACAAAATATTTAAAATTACGATATATAACAAAAATAATTTAAATATATAAGATCATAATTAAATACATTATATGCCTATGTAAAAATAATGCGGTCCTGCATTCATTCATATATAAATAAAAAAATTTTTGTCAATATTATACAATAAACATCTTAATATTGATTATCTTTCATGATACAATATATTTACATCAGTGATGGGCAGATTAAATGGCCACTGAAGAACTCATGGGCACCGGTTTACATGCTTAAAAAGAACCTAGAGAGAAAGTTTAAATTGAGACTAGAGAAAACTTAAAGACAAGCAGGAAGGGACCAAGGAGAAGCCTAGGCAGAATTTGGGAACAACCTAGTGGAGGCTATAGAGAGCCTAGGAAATTACCTAGGATAATTTACGATCTGCCCACTTCTGATAATTAGACGAATACAGGGCTTGCAGGCTACTTTCTACTGGTGCCCGCGAGTGCCCTCCATACAGGTGCAATTGCTTATCACTGTATTACACTATATAAATAATATAACGAATTGAATTCCTAGTTTTTAAAATTACATAATTTGATACTGTTCTGGTTCTGTCTCATTAATATGTCGTAAAAAGAATGTAACTTTAACTTGTTCAACGTGACGACAAAGTTTCATTGCTAGACTAGTTCGAAGTTTCATATGTTGCGTTAGAGATGGCAAATTTAACAATAAAAACGCAAGTCCATCAATCTCCTGCAAAAATATTATCGATTAGTAATGCAAAACTTTGTTATTAAATTTAATTTACGAATTACCTCTTGTCTCACTCTGTATGCAATGTCTTTGCAATCGTTCGTTTTTCTCAAATATCTGAAAACATCATCTACGGTCCAGAATAATGGATTCGAATCGAGCTTTCGCGTTTTTGGCCGTCTTTGTTTCTTCTGCATTCTCACATATTCTGCATCCGCATCCGAACAATCAGATTCGATACTTGTATCCCAATCACGCTCCCTCTTGTTTGCTCTAGTAATGGCATTACTTTGGTTATATTTCGTCGAATGTTGTTTATTGCTTAAACTATTAGGGCTTTCTCTATCTTTTGTTTTTCTGTTATCATTAAACGAACTTCCAGAATCTTCTGATGCGTTACTCGATGGCGGCTCTGTTTTAAATTCATCAGATTTCTCTCCTTTTTCCAAACCTTTCTGAATCATGATATCTATTTCAGAAAGAGGTGGCCGTCCATCAAGGGTTTCCTCAACCCCTGATACATGTTTAGCCAGATCCAATGACATGAATGGCATTTCGTCCTCTTGATCGAAGTCATCGTGAGTTTCCTTTTCTCTGTTCGCCCATCTACCACGTCTCCTTTTTCGTCTACCACCCCATGGTTTTGGTTTCTGCACCATGATACTTGTGTAACCCTTTGGCTTACCTCTTCTGCCGGTACCCATGGATGCTGCTAACATTAATTGTTCGATCAATAAAAGTCACGATAACATGAAATACGAATATAACGAAATAATTACTCACTGAATTTTGTTTTGGAAGTCTTATGACATTTATCTGGACATTCGTTTTCGGGTACATATAAAGGGCCAAATAAATTTGGGCACACCATTAATTTCCTACAAATGTTTCTACAAAAATCAGCTACCATGTCTCCAGATGTTACAACAGCAACACTAGCGCGATATGTATTATTTTTATGCTTTGCTTTTAAAACTTCTAAATGGTATCCAGGATCCGGCTTCGAGTCACACTGAAGTACTTTTAGAATACGAGCGCTTCTATACCCAACGGACACGATCATTGATAATACTTCTCTCATAACTAAAATTACTGGACCAGGTCCTACTGCTTTCGGTAAAGTTGCTAATTTTCCTTTGGAAATCATAGGACCAGTAAAACACCGGTAATTGAAATATATCTTTGGACACCACAGTGATGAACGCGGTTCAGATATTGGTATATCCAAAACATTGTTCTTTTTGTCTTCTTTCTCAGGCATTTGTAACTTCTTACAGATTTCTATATAGTCTTTTGGCGGTTTCAATGGATAATGATTAGATTCGCACCATCCAACAGGAAATATTTGCAAGGAATGCATGTCAACTATATGTTCCGGTTTTGTGTTTTCGTAATTGTCTAATTTCAACCATAAAAGATTGTCAACGATTTTTGTAATGTGCGCTGCGCAAATCACATTTTCGGACTCTGGATCAACTGCTTCTAACCGCATACCACATTCAAAGCCTGCATCAGTGGCACTTTGCCTCTCAGGAAATAGAGTCTCTTCTGCAGCAGTTGTTTGGGTGTCTCTTAAATATTCATCCCAGTCGAATTCGTCTTCTTTTGAAGTCCAACCATTCGGGTGTACTATTCTGAAAGTGATAAAACATTCGGTTGCAATAAACGTTTTTGAACAGAATGTTAGGAAAAGATATATTATACTTACTTGATATTATGTTTCTTTGCCCATCCAACTGGAAATATATATGGATATTCTGCTGTACAAAGCCAAGTATTTTTTTCTGTACTGTTGTATGTACATGCTTCAAGATCAATTCCTTTTGATGATTCATTATAAGTATCAATATGTACAAGAAAGTAAGTATCATCGAATACTTTAATGACAGTAGCTGGACATATATTTATTTGATTGGTGGGACTTAAAGCTTCCACTTTCATGCCAACTTTAAATTCATGTTTGGGATGTTCTACAAAGTTATTAAATAACTCTTCTGGAAGATCATAATTTTTTGGTGTGGACTCTAACAGGTCCTTCCATTCCTCATATGTGTGCAAATCTACTATAGAACTAGGAGGTTCTAGAAACCAATTAGAGTCTGATTTAGATGCAAATCCATATGGATGAAGGTGTTCTGATGTACAAAACATCCAAAAGTCTTTACGTGATGAACCAGGAGTATCATATCTTAATAGAAGTCGTCCTCCTACATTCTCTATGATCTAAAGCAGTAATACATATGTTAAATAAAAATCCACATATAATAAAATGAAATCTGCAAATGTATCCTTACCGTAGCAACCCATAATTTGTAAGGATGTAGTATATCACTAACTTCAACTTTCATGCCTTGTTTAATTCTTTCCGTCATGCTTAGTCCTTCCTGCAAACAAGGGTAATTAATAATGAAAAATGAAGTTAACATTTTATTACATATAAATTTGTAAGCAATCACTAACTCCTGACAACATTTCTGATGGAACAGTACGAGCTGTTTTTAAGAATTCAGGTAATGTTTCCATACAATCTGGCGATCTTTGGAGCACAATATCAGGTGGTTCTAACTTTTTATTATTTTTTACACACCAACCAAGTTCATGAGCAGCCTCTTTAGTAAGATTGAACCAAAATTCCAACGATCTATCATCTCCACCAAAATATCGTAGCCGTAATAAAGGGCCACATGCTACTACAATAGAAGCTACCCAATATTTAATATCTTCTTCATTTGTATTTTTTGAAACTGGCACTTCAAGAGACATGCCAATTTCAATGCCGCTTTGAAGTGTCAGCTCCACATGTGGAAACATAATTTGTGGTACTTCCACGCTTTCTGTGGCATCAAGATAATCTTGCCAAAAGAAACCATATTCTGAAAAATAAATTTTAATTTTTTATTATGGCTTAATAATACATTCAACATATTCTAAATTTACAAAATAAATTAATACCTGTAGAAGTAAATTATATTATTCATGTTTAATTATGGTTTATCAAATTTTTAAAAGTACAAAAAATAAAAATTATTAATGAAATTAATTGATTATATGTGCATATTTTTAATATTTAATAATTCATAATTATCTTATGATAACAGAATTATATTTTTTAAAATTCATATCTAAAAATATTAAAATAATTAGCAAGATTAATCATTATCGAAACGATACGATTAACGAAATGATATAAACTTTTTCGCGCGTTTTATTAACGATTTGGCAAACCCCAGGCGACAAGCTAACGTAATTTAAAAAACCTTGCAAATGCATTATATATAACGTCCGTAGCAGAATCAACGATGTACAGTCGAAGCTGTTTCAAAAAACTTAAAAAGGTTACCAAATAATAGAAATTATAATTTTAATATAAACATCAATGTTATATAATAAAAATTGCACAAATCAAAGTATGAAACGGTCATGAATACAATTAATTTGATCTTACCACCTTCTTGCATTTTCTCTTGTGATCGATTCTCGCAAGGTTCCATGATTTCGTTATAATATTATAATGCCTGTACATAAATACATTAAAATCAATTTCCATTGTGACCGCGTTAATATAGAAATGTATATGCAATGTCAGTTGATAACGAATATCTTCAATAGATTGTAAAATATTTTACAACTTACCTCTTTTATTGTAAGCGCTTATTTTCGAAATTTGAGTGAGTTCGTTTTAAAGAAAAATAGTATGGTCAATCGTAGCCGTCCGTGCCGCTCTATAGTGGTCTACCGTGCGTATCTTCTCTGTTGTTTGCTATCTCTCTTGTGCGACGAGCTTGGCGCAATCGTACCGAATATCAGAGCTACCTAGTTTGAATTGGCCAACATTTTGAATTACCTTCGAGCATATACATTTTATGAACTGACCACTACTTTATTGTGGAGTTTCTCAAAATATAAGTTTGATTCTACTACCGAACTGGGAGCAAATTTTGTGTGAATCACATTATATAGCAAGTAACCCAGAATTATTTTAATCAATTGAGGTTCATGATTTAGATCTACAAAGTTAAAACAGAATTAAAAGTAGCAACATCATTTTAAAATTTAAAAATGTTGATATTCACGGTGTTTTATATCATGGAAAATGTTTGTATACAGATCTTCCATCTTTTAAAGACATGAATTTCTGAATCTGAGAATTTGAATTTTGCTCCGGGGCCTCTCAAACTCTAGCAGCAGCTCTGATTCAAACAGCTGTTTGTAACAGCTAATGCATAATGTTTTCCATGCGGTTAACAGAGTGGTATATTTTTATTTCAATACATAAAAAAATTGTATTGTACATAACATAATGTTGTTTCTTATAAGAGGATGCACATTTAGTGCTTGTCGTTATTATGGGAACATAATAAATAAGGTCAAACCATCTCCATTGTGCCCGTTGTTACTTAACCTCAATAAAAAAGATCCATCTATTTGTAAATTCTTTAGTGCAGAAAAATATTCAATTACTCTCGATGAAAATATTAAAAAATACTTGAATCGCCTTACGGATGTGTATCAAAATAATGAGAAACAAATGAATGAAAGCATTAACGAGATTCTTAAATTAGAAACAATACCAGAATTATTGGACAAAAAAATTAAAATAATAGAAAATATCAAGAGTTTAACTAATCTTGGTAAGTGTAAACAAAGTACATCTTATATATTACTAGTACAAATTATTATTGTTATTATTACAAATTATTTTCAGCTAGTAACGACGAAGAAATGAAGAAACTTGTGAAAGAAGAACAGTTAATGTATCAACAAGAATTGGTGGAAGTTGATAAACATATATTAGATGTAATTTTACAAACTCTAGGCAAGGAATATTTTGACCAAATTATTATGGAGATAGTGGCGGGTGCAGGAGGTCAAGAAGCTATGTTGTTTGCTAAGGATTTATTTAATATGTATATAAATTATTTAAATTATTTAGAATATGAATATGAAGTATTAGAAATGTCGGTTAGTCCTATTAGCGGATTGAGAAAAGGTGTGATATTAATATCAGATAGCAGAGCTTTCGAGAAATTGAAATACGAAGGTGGTATCCATAGAGTACAAAGAGTTCCAGTGACAGAAAAAAGTGGTCGAATGCATACCAGTACAGTTTTCGTAACAATCTTTCCAGAACCTAGGGATGTAGATATTAAATTAGAAGAAAAAGATCTAAAAATAGAATCCAAAAGAGCATCTGGAGCCGGAGGCCAACATGTGAATACTACAGATTCTGCTATTAGGATAACTCACTTACCAACAGGTATATCTGTTACTAACCAAACAGATAGATCCCAATTAAAAAACAAAAAGGTAGCATTAATGAAGTTGAAAAGTATATTATATCAAATTGAAATGGACAAGCAAGTATCGTTCATTACTGCACTACGTAAAAAGCAAATGACGAAACTGGAGAAGATCAGAACGTATAATTTTAATCAAGATCGCATAACTGATCATAGAATACTGGATGGTACGATGCATAATTTAAAAGGCTTTCTGAAGGACGGACTGCCTCTGGTGGAACTACAGGATAGACTCTACAAAGATATGCAGCACGAGACTTTGTTGGAGATTTTAAAGAGTTTGGAGAGTGAATTGAAATAACACTGATTCTTTCAACATTTGCCATTTTGATAAGAAACGATTTTTCATTTACATAGGCAAGCCATTGTACATAGGAAATTGTAATAAACTCTATGTAATACAAGTAACATTATTTTGTTTTTCGAATGTAACTCGCCACGATGTAAGTTCTTTCTGTTTCGCTCGAGGAAGCAGAGGAGCTAACGGAGTAGAGAGTTTAGTTGTTTATTTGAAAAACATACAACAAGACCTTATTATTTTTGTTTTAACCGCGTGTCCAAAGGCACACATCCTTGTAACTCTCTTATATAATACATTAATATACAAAATTAATATCCGTAATCTTCTATAAATATCAAACGACACGTTTTACATCGGTTAATGTACAAAGCGCAAAATGTGAATGTGTTTCAATAGTTATCGGTGCCGGTGACCTCTTCGTATACGGCCCTGCTCTCTAATGCAGCCTCTTATATGATCCTAACTATATTTCGTCGCTCGAAAAATTAACATCAGTGGCCATGTCGAATTAAGTTCGTGTCAGACGCGATTTTATCATTTCCTCGCAACTTCCGCCCAAAGATTATCTCACGAAATGTAGGTGCATTTTCCACCTACAAACGAAATACATAACTTCCTCGTTTGTGCAGCGTTCTTCAAACCTAGATCTTAAACGCGCTTTATGCATTCTGGCCACTGAAATGTTCGTCCTACGCGTAGATTGGTCGACTTGCAATTCATAGAGCAAGTACAATGTAGCCTCGTTATATGGCTCTATTTTGTATGGCCTGTAGAGCGAAATTTATAATTTTCAATTTTTCGCGGCAAACCGCTGGCAGCAAAGATTTGGCAATTAAGTCCAGCACGAAAGCAATTCCATTTATATGGTCCTTTCCACAATTATTCTCGCTACTACTGTCTCGTCCAGCGTATATAGCGAGACTCCACTGTAATAATATTTGTTCTATAAAATTTTGATTATTAGACTAGATTTTATAGTCACTTACGTGACCCTGGTCACAAAGCAAAGCAATATATCCTGAAGTATCCAAAATCTCATCGTTCTCAGAATAACATTGAAAGACAATCAAAAACGATATTTCTAGTTCCTGTGGTTGCTAAGACTTAATATCTAACGATTGCAGAGTAACAATAGTTAGACAGATCCGCGTAAAGGGAAAGAAAAGAGATAGAGCAGGGACGCGTATTGAGTAAACACCGTATCGTGTTCAGGCAGTAAGGTTGTTTTAGGACTACTTCAGTATCGATTCATGGACATCTTTGTAACATCTTGAACCATCATTAAGAGTCATGCATTCAAGGAGGGCAATGTACCCAGACACATAATCCGATTTGAAATTCTATCAAGAATTCTAAACAAGACAACCGATCAATCCTTGTCTGACATAGTAATATTCTCGAGGTCTGAAACCGCAAATGCAGAGCCTGCCTGCATTGTCGCCCAAACACGTCGATAGAGACCAGTAGTTCAATGACCTCCATCGGCACAACTAGGAGGCGCCAAAATATGTCTTTAGGCATATATTAGGAATTTTAAAATTCCCAAATCCCCAAATTTCGCGACCTAGTCAATGTCCAACCCTATCGCCACATCTCTATGAACGTTACAACATTTTGAAATTACAATAACTATTAAAAAAAGAACCATAACAAACATCAATTATTTCGCAAACAATCATATCGAGTTGTACTTCTCGTAAGTAGCTTTAATTGGCAAAAGTAACGCGTTGTTACGAGTCTCTTAGTAAGTCATTATATATTGAATATCGAAAAAGCTTCACCAAGGAAATCATCAGCGCGTTACCTCCTATCCGAACCCAAATCTCTGATCATTTTCGATGCATTGAAACGAGAAAAAAGTTTCATTGGAAATTGATGATTCGTCTAACTAAAGTACAGGTCGTTAACAGAACGAGGAGGTAGATGTTCGGTACTACGTTCGAAGCCAAGCCGCAGAGATCTTTGATCTCGCTTTCCCTTGGGTGGCTGCGAATACACGACTGAGGTCTCTTTCTCTTCAAGCTGGTGAGAGCTTTCTGGCATACCAGCGAGTTGTTCTCATAGATTACTTCTTCCGGGATGACACTTAGGGGAGGTGATACGGTGTCTTTGCAGTAGGCGTTAACGACTAAAAGAAGCATGTTACTGAACTCAACTGGATGAACGATATACGGCCTCGTGCATTTGTCGTTCACGTCCAATTCGATGTCGTAGGAGTTGAAAGATGTGTTTCGTAGGTAGAGATACACCTGGAAGAAAGGAATAGGATATAGAAATTGATAGTTGATTGAAAGTCGATAATGTTTCAGATTATGTACTTCTTTGTCGCAAGCTTCTGGTCGCGTTCGGTTGATCAGCACCTTCTGATCGAATAACTTTTCATCCTTCGCATCGACTGGTGGGTTATCCTCGTTCTCCTGGTACTCCTCGTGCATATTTTCTTCCTCGTTAGGATAAGCATATGCCTCTGCGTACTCGGAGTCCCAAATTCCAGCTTTGGCCCATGCCCAGACTGCTTGGCTGACGAGCCACGAGACCATTTTCTGCGCGTTTTGCAATGGCTGAAATGATTGAGCAACCGGATGAGGCAATTGACAACGCTTGAAAGATGTTTAAGGACTTGACTGTGATGATTAGAAAAGAGAATTTTTAATACCATTAGAATTACTCGAATAGCTTCACAGAATGTGGTATAAGACAAATTCCTTTAAAATCTCAACAATGTTCAAGGTCTGTCGGAGGAACTTACGTTCAGCAAAATATTGCCATCGTTACTGGTCTGTGTACTTTTGAAACAGACTGCTTGATAATCGAATATCCTGATTTTCTCGAAAACGCCTTCCTCCACAAGGCTAGACATAATGGGTCCTCTCAATTCGCCGAAGAACTTTCCGGCGTCCGACTCGTCTTCAGCCGCGATTACGTATCCGTTGTTGTCGATCAAATAGCAAGCCCACTTCTCTTCTCCGCAATTTTCATTGCAGTTACCGAATCCCTCGCAGCTGAAAGTTGTGTTTTGGAAAAGTCCTTGAAGAGCTGTGTGTTGGAATTGGAAGCCTACGACTGCTGCTGGCGCCTTTGTTTCTCGAGTTTCTAAAATTTATTATAGAGTGAATGCTTAACCAGATATTCAGTACTATCATTTTAAAGTAGTTATGTAAATCAGAAGCTTCTTCGAGCTCATAAAGCACAAAGAATCAATCACAACCCTACCGATAAAGATAGCACGACTGGCAGTAACCAAGGTGGTATTATCAGCACCCTCTTCATCGATTGGCACGGAAAATACAAAGCTCTCCGGTTCAACATAATATTGTTCCACGGCACGCTTGTACCACACTTCATCGATGGCTCTTGAATATATTTTGCTGAAGTGATCGTCTGGTATGGTGCTCTTCTCGTCCAGCAGGAAGTCTTGCCACCTGGTGAGGCCACTGTGAGTAGCCATGAACGCAAGCGTAACTCCGAAACGTTGTTGGAACTCTTTCCTACAAAAACAATCGAATTAGATATCTGGATAAAATAGACATTCGCTATAGTATACTGCTGTATAGCGATACGGCGTTACGAGAAGCTGCGAGTACGTAGCTTACGGTTAGATAGCCCGCTTGCATTACTTTTTTTAATTAATTACAGGTGAAATATTATTTCATTTAGTCAGATATGTAGCTCGAAACGAATTCGTCGACTTATATATTGGTACTTGAAAATAATAACAGCGATTCAATTATAACATAACTGAGTATAATAATGCATGATCAGAAAATGAAAAGCTTTGCAATCGAGCGATCATACAATTACTACAATACTACAATATAGAATAATATTAAAAGTGTCTTGAAATTTTTTTCGCCAGTCTTCTTCCTCGATGACCTCTGAGTGATCTGTTATCTCGTGCTAGTTAAACCATAAAAGAAACAACAGAGGGATAATGCATACAAATCATTACAAATCATTACAATGATAAAACGAAAAGGAAGAATATGAATTGTTAGGAAAATGTGTAATCTTAAAATTAAATGATATTAGAGTTCAATAAGAGGGTAATACAAAATAAAAGCGAATGTGGATAAAGAAAAGCGACAAACGATCGTAGAAGACCGGTTAATTTCTAAAAGAACATAAGGTGCGACGTGATGACGTTACCTGGGCAGCAGATTCATCAGCCTAGCTAAAGGTCTGCATGGTGTTAAAGTGGTCAGTATTAGTTAAAAAGGAATGGGTGCATTTCATTAATCCTGACAGAAGAAAGAATATAAGAAACCAACGGAACTCAGAGAAGAATTGTGCAGAGAAATGGATAAAATATACAGAAGAACGATACCGGAATAATTGGCTCACTAGATGTTCTTTCTTTCTTTGGTTCTCACTTTAATTATTAACGTCAATCTGGAATTACTTTCTGTTCTATGTTGTTTTTTTATCTTTCCACACAAGATAAATATGTAACACGTTGATTACTACAGTAATATGTGATGAAACATATTGCAATATAAAGCAATTATCAGAAAGTTTTGCCTCTTCACCATTTAGAAGGTTAAGAGCACTCAAGATTTGTTTTTTTTTATTTAAGTTTTTTAATTTAAATTATATTAGAGATTGACACTGTACCAGTCAACGTGTTAACTTAGTATATCCAGAATGGTACTGTACAAGAATGTCCATTCATATTTATTTGTTTAATAAATGAAGTTATAATGATGCTCACGCTTTTTCTTCGCGCGTAGTGCTGGGGTTCGCAAACCACTCGGTTACCTTTGCGTCGAATACCAGACTCAAGAGAAGATCCCTGTCGCAGTAGTAAGAGTCTTTGTCCACTTTGTATGGGGTAGCTGTTAAAAAATAATTCATTAATTATTAAAATTGTATGAAAGGTATTAGACCACCTTAGAGTACTGAGGTATAAAATACCTACATTTTGCTTTACGATGAGTATCATTGCCGGAACTAGTGGCTGAGTATTCTGGCGGTTGGGATGGTTGTTTCATGTCATTCCACTTCCATCGTGGTTGACGAGTACGTTCCAGGAAGTGCAACAATTGCGCTTCCGAGGTATTGAACGATCGTTCATCCTCGTAGTGGTATCTGTAATAAAAGGAGTTGGTAAAAAAGGAAATACTTTTCCCTTAAATAATTTATTTACTCACTTGCAATACAACCAATGAGGGTGTACCAGCCAGTTAGTACCACTGAAATAGTCTGACACGTTCTTGCCTGAAAATAGGATTCTCGTTATAACTTATACTAAAATGTTTCAAAAGTATTATATAACCAGATAGATAATGTAATGGTTTTTTAATTTAAAGTAGTGTAGAATGGAAATCATTCCAAGTTTGAACGTGTAATGGAAACTTTGCAATCGAACTCTCTTAAAGTTTTCCTTATTGAATATGTAGATGTATCATTGAATAAAATATTGAGTTTGGAGGTGAAAAGTTTCCAGTCAGTCGTTAAAGACCCATCCACAATGAAATTTAAATTCTCCGATTTTTTAGTTTAATATTGTACAACTTTTTTATATCATTTTTGCCATTGGAAAGTTATTTATAGAGACATACCAGTAACGTGGACACGGTGTATTTCCTCGGTCGCGTGAACCCGATAACTTCCGTTATGTTCCGGCAGACTGACCACCACCGTGAAAGGTGTGTTTGGTATACCCGTGTAGTCGTACTTCCTCTTTACTCTACCCACGCGTTTCTGCGAATAGAAAATGAATTTACTACCGACAAGGGTTAACACGATCAAGAAAGATATACAGTCCTTTGTGGTTCACTCGGTGTACATTTTCTTGATCGTAAATATTTGATACACTTGATGCTTTAAAACTACTCACCATATCATCGTAATGATATTTCGTGTGCAGCGTTATGCTACCGTTCGCTTGATTGATCACATCATTTCGCAGCTACGAATAAATGAATTTCGCTGTTATTTGATATTAATGTTCGTCGATATATATAAGTAGGTTTAATCTAGCACACCATAATGATTCCCTCATCGAACTCTCTTGGACCTCTATCCTGATCCATCAGTTCAACCTCCGCCATGTCGACGCTGTTGTACGCTGGTTTTAGGATACCCTGGAACTGTAGTTTTATGATAATGTAATAACTCTTTTAATCATTTAAAAGTGATGATATGAATAACTTGATCCAAAGTGAGAAATTTCAAATCCAACTTTGTTAAAAAAAATATAATTTGAATAGAAAATTACCACTGGGCGGAGGTCCGGATGAATCAGGATGAAACCATTGTTGGTCACAATGAATGCATATCCGTTGACGCCAAGCTTGAAACAAACAGAAACCGATTAGAATAGAATTAAAAATAAACTAAATTATCTAGTTATAATAAAACTACTTTATATTAATAAAAATATAAAGTAGTTTAATATAAAGTAAATTACCAAATGCGGCATCATAAGTTTTTGTATCTCTTCAATAGGAACGTCCGTCCCAGCGACACCGAGGAGATCGGCGATCCTTGTCTGCGCAAAAAATTGTCACGGTGTTTTAACAAGATCCTATCATGAAACGATTGGTTGGTGTTAATCGAAATTACGAATCATTATCATCCCAAGTCGCATAACCATAAGCGTATCTACCTTCTTCAATATAAAAACGCTATCACAATGAAATTCGTCTAATGACACACGTTCTAATATTAAAAATAACGGTATTTACTAAAGAAACAATAACTATGATAATAATAATAATGTCTGACGTTACGACTGAACGTATAACTAGCTCAACTACGTTCCCAATAATAACGATAATAATAATAAGAACGATACACAATAAGAACAATGAACGTCTGACGCAGGCTATCCTAAGTGTTAATAATCAAATCACAATTAGCCACGCTGTTCATCGTTCTGACAATCGTAGCCTTCTTTAAAAAAGAATCTCTTTTACCATTCACATTTTTTTTTCTAGCGTTTCAATCAGCCTTATTAACTATCTTCATTGATTATTTAAATATTTGAATGTTAATTATAGCGATGTAAAATGATGTTGATGATCAGTATGTTATAAAGAAGCAAAACGGTCGTCAGAACGGCGCTCGAGTTAAATCTACTAATAAATATACTCTGTCTAGCGAAATCTAGCACTCAAGTAACTCATCAAACCGTACCATGTGTGTACATGTGTGCTTGGTACTCTCTTATACTTGTATATACCCAATCAAGATAATTCTTTCGTTACGATCAGTACACGTGTATACGTATATATGTAGTCACTGCAAAATCAGAGTTCTTCTACCAATCGCAATAATAATAACAATAATAATAATAATAATAATATCAATAGGAGGTATCGCTGTTCGCAATCCAACAGGCGGGCAGGATTTATCCGTTTTTCTACTCGTCTCGAACAGGGCACAGGGTAGACTAATGTACCTAAACCTACCTAATGATTAAACTAAGTTTCAGTACTAGCGTTAGACCAAATTAAGATACCAGAGAGACGAACGTGGACCTAAATGGAACGAGAGATCGTTGCGCGAGCTTCGAACACGTCTCTGGATTTCCATTTTAATTATCCCAATTCTTTGTTATCTTATAACTCGTACTAGAAATTTCGAAATATTTACAAATTTTTATATTAAAATTCTCTAATAGAGAAATTTTCAAAGGCCACTTTGTTATTTGCGTGGATCGTTGACACTGTTAGTAAAGAGGACTTGTATTCCAGATAAAAATTCTAGTTAAGCCAATGATTGCGAGTACGTTTGTTCGCCCTCATTGTTGGAAACCAGGCACGGTCGAGAGTCACGCTCGAATACAAAAGGGTGAAGGGTTACAGGGCTCTATGCATTGAAACAACGTTGTTTGTGTCTTTTTTTGTTTAGCTGCCAACCTCTCTTGTCTCTGTCACCCAGTACGCTTCGTTCACCAGCACCTGCCTTGTGATGTTCTGTGGACAAACAGGAACTTAAAACCAAAGGAAAAGTATTCGTTCGTCGAAGGGGTCGCGAGATTTTTTTACGCTTGCTACGTTTGATCGATTAATGGGCGGGGTGAGAAACAATGAGTGATATCGTATTAGCGATAGTGATATCATGATCGGTATCGAACGAGACACGCATCATTGTGTGTCTCGTACGGCTATTTATAAAACGGGGTTAATGACAATATGTCGATGGGGTATTCTCGATAATAACATGAGTTCTAGAGTATCTTTAGAGTCTAAGGATTAATCTTGTGCTTTAGATATTATAGTACAAACGGTATCGTCTTTCATTAGCTATTTTTCAGCAGATTATTTTCAGAAGATTACAGTATCAAGTTTAAAAGAATCTAAAATTAAACTTAAACTCTTTTGGATCTTAATCTTAAAAACTTAATAAAAGACAACGTTATAAATGTCTTACATCAAATCTTTCAATTTTCTATTCACAGAATTTTTTATACCGACTCTTAATGCTTCTACAATGTCTCATAAGTACTAGTAATCGAAGTACACAGGAAAGGAACATCTTACCGCGTTTTCACGTCGGTCGAACACCGGCATGCTGACCGAGGTCATCAGCTTGTACTCCTGAAAATCGGGTCCCTGTTCGTGCGATTTCTTCTGCTTCTTCACGAACCTGCGGTCGCGTTCTTCCGAATTGAAGAACTTTTTCCGTCTATGAAGCCTTAGGAATCTTTCTTTCTGTTCCTCGCTCTCTCTCTGCTCCCACAGCCAATCGGTCATCTTCGGATCGGTTATGTCGGCGTAAACCGGTGTCCAAATCGTTGGGTGGTCGGTACGACCGAGGACTAAGGGTCTTGCCATCACAGGAACGTATTTCAGGACCTGAAGAACACGTTAGAATACTGCAATATTCATCTACTAACTTGATGAGTTAATTTTGATCGATTGCTGATTATTTAATTAGGTCAAACGTACAAAGCGAACAGAAAAAAGTTTAAGACATAAACGATAATAGTTTTAAAGAACAGAACATGTATCGTACGAAGTATAAAGCACTCGTACCTCTTCTCTGACCTCTGCCAAAGTGCAAAGATGCACAAAGTAACCCCTATTGGCACATGCCATCCATTGAACCTCCCTGACGTCCGCAACCTCTCTACCGATCAAGTAAGTGAACATTCTAACAGGCATATCGGCTTTAAAAGGTTCGTTAGGATTATCTTTCCAATTGTAGGTCTCGAAGATGTCTTTGTAGTTGTATGGAACTCCATCCGTTATCAGCATTATCGCTTGGTTGCATCTGGCTCCTTCCCTCTCGGTTCGATACGATTCGAGCAACTCGAAGGCGGTGGTCAAGGCCAACGAGAAGTTCGCTATTTTTTCGGTGTTCAGGTTCGCGATTGCACGCTTTAGTTCCCTTACGTTTGCCAAGTTTGCTTGGACCAGGGTGTCGTTGAAACAGGGCACGACCTGGAAAGAAATCGGTCAAATATTAATTAGTTTAGAATTTTGCTGTAATTTTTATGTTTTATAACATTGATATATGTTGAAGAAGCAATACGTTATTCGGTCACGCATTATAAGACTATTATGGTGGCCAGTATGATCTCAATCATTTTATAAAAGATGCACCTCTAGCCATACAGCAAGACCTGAATAATCACCTCCTTAGTAACGTTGGAGAACGTGATGATGTTCACGAAATCATTGTTTCCCAGCGTGTCCAAAATATTGTTCACCACGTGTCTCGCAATTTCCCTGCGTATGCCAGTCATGCTACCGGACGTATCGATCAGAATCAAGATGTCCTTGGGACTGGAGGCTGCTTCGATGTACCAGCTTCTGGTTCTACAGTCGAAAAGGTCCACCGGCTCCATGAACCAGTTGGTCGCAGGATATTGTCTCATAAACCCTGTCGCGCTACCGAAATACTGCCAAGATAGCGAAGGATCTTGTTCGTAGTTGTTGATGAAGGTCTTATCCAACTCCTCGGACCATTTGATCGCCCTGACCACGTTTGACGCTCTCTCGTACACGTTCGTCGGAACGTGAACAGCTGACATGTTCAAGTTCACCTGGCCACCGAAGTGAGTGCTGGATTTGAGATCGACGATTTTGTTCTTCGCGTTGGTGAAATTGTAATTTTTCGGTGGATCTACATCTGGAGCTGATAACGCTGACGTCTCTGCCACGTCCATGATTCTCTGGTGAAATTCGAATATATTGCATGTGAATAATTTTTAACTTTACAAGTACTACATATTATAGCGTCAATGGCAATACTAGAGTTTACTGTACGTCGGTAGGCACTATATCTCTAGAATGAATCAGGCTTGAATACCGTCCGCCAATTGCTCATTTACGCACGGTGCATATACCTTGATCGCTGATATCTTAGACTCCATCATAGCTTTAATGTCCTTGGCAATCTCGTGGACCAAAGCGTTACCATCACGTGGCTTCACCACCGCTTGTTTGTAGCTTTCGCGGAACTTCTCCACATTGGTCACGAATTTCCCCAACTGCGACAGCTCGAAACCCAATTTGTGCGCCCATCCTTTCACTCTAAACATGCACGAAACAAATGATACAAAACAGTGTCGGTTAAACTTTCAGAACGTCCTCTTACAAAATCATGCTTACACAGTATTATAGTCTACATTTGCAAAGTTTGTAAACTCATTAAAATCGAAGAAAAAAGGGATACAACATGTATGACCGCTCGTGTAACTCGCAAACGTATTCGAAACGTGGGGAAACCAAACACCTGTCAACTGACAGTACAGAAAGGGAAATTAGATTCTGAGCACTTTCTTCAAACTTCTGCATGCTTAATGACTTTCTAATTACAACCTCATAAATTTCATTTCCAAGAAGCATTGTACCCTACTTCAATAACATCAACGTGTCCACAACGTGTATTCAACTCTTCCAATAATTACACGTATGATCACATCCCTAGCACTTCGGTTTCGATTAAAACCTTTCTAATTCACAAACATGATCAAGTAATAGAAATATAAAGCGCGGTCACGAGGAACGTGTCCCAGAAGATTGGTCACGTTTTCGCGTCCAGCATGAGGTAGCACACTAATCGAGTAAACGCAAATTCTGTGCAACTACGATGTAAGATTTCGTGGTGCAAATCTTCTGGCGAAATGAAATTCGACGATCGTTGCAAGCACTTACGTGTTGTATGATATGCTGTCACCAGGGTCGGGTGCCTCGATCAGGATCAGGATGACGATAACAGGTATGAAACGGGACCTCATAACTCTCGTCTTCTTGGCCGGCTCTCTGCTGTTTACGCGAGGACACGGTAAACAAAACTGAGGCCGAGAGGAGGCTCGCGTCTGACATTAAGGATAGTCCGGGCCGGCCGTTGTCGTCGTGGTCGTCGTCGAGCTAGTCGTCGTCGTCGTTGTCGACGTCGTCGCCATGCAGTACGCGCATCGTTCGACTACGGACACACGTCCGTGGTTATCGATCGACGCGAAAACCGAAACAGCCGGTGCGCGATACGAAACGGAGCATCCAGACAGAGATAAGCGTCCGCTTGGAATTGATAGTAATGTTTGTTTCCCAAAAGTCAGCCGGTTTTCCTGGTTCTTTTTATCGATGGTTCTCTTTGGGGATGTGAGGAGGTTCCTGTGATAGTTGGACGATGTTTTCGTGGATCAGTAATATGGTTGGCGCTGAAAGCATGGGGCTCTAAGTTCAGATATCTTCTCGAATGATGTAGGTAGCTAATTCTGAGATGATCAACGTGGAGATATGATGCGTGATCTTACAAAGCTATACACGGGGTTGCTATACAACTTGTTAACGCATGGTATTGCAACATGTGGAAACACAGGGTTACCATGCGTCAACTTTCAATGTGCGATGGTCTAACCACGCCACAAAACACGTGGTAACCTAATCGCTATACAATTCGTTGCTATTCTACCCATCCGACGTGTGAGGATACAACACGTTAGTATACCACGCTGCACTGCAACATGTTGCAATATTACACGTGGCAATACAACGCGCCATTGTACCACGCGTTGCAATACCATACGTAACGATACAACTCGCTATATCGCGGAACATCTGATGATTTATCTATCGCGTAATTGTACAATGTTATGGAACCCGTCATCTTTCAACATGTACCGAACACTTATACAATGTGTAGAAGAAGAGTAGTCGTACAAGAGAACGTAACTAGAGTCTACTGTAGGTATTTTTAAGAATATCGATTTCCTGGACCTCAGAAACTTTAGCAACGTTTCTTGCCATAAATCTTCGGTAGGGAGAGGATCCAACTTTCGCATTCAAGGAGTTAATGTTTGAAGGAGATGAATTGATTGCTTCTTGGTTTTCAGGTGGTTATTCAATTCTTCTTGTTTTTGCATGTTTCTGGAAATGGAAAGCATTTGGAATTAGGAGTTGTTGCATAAACTAATTTGATTTAATGTTAGATTTACGAACAGAAACTAGTACAGTAGTTTATTTGATTCTTCCAGGCGAGTTCTGATAAATTATGAAATTAAAAGCAAGGAATTAGTTTGTTAATATTAAAAAAAAATTAGGAACAGAGATAAGATATCTTCTTCTGTAAATATAAAAAATAATTAAGAGTAAGATAAAATTTTATTAAACGAATTGAAAGCGAAAATGTTACAGTTGAACCAGCAGAAGAGATATAATTCGAATAATCGAGGAGAGGAACAAAGTATTTTCTGGGTCAAGCTCCTCTCACCCTATCAACAGACTTCGCGACGCCGCGCTGCCAGAAAATCGTATCTCGCCTGGGTGGAAGGATATTTCTTCAGACTTTATGTTCTCTTTTCTACGTCGATCGATTTGAACTTGAATGTCCTTGGTTCGCAAAAAAACAAAACGAGTTCAGCTCGTAGAACGCCAGAGTGACGAGCTTCTATCGTTAATCGTTGTCATAAATTCTATATTGCTATTGCCTTTCAATAAAATTACCAGCTTCAGCTTAACAACACTTTAATTGCTTGCTTTCATGTTCATCTTCTCGGATTCTTTTTAAAAAGCAATATTAATAATGAAATCAATACAAAAACATATTTATACTTTAGTGACATAAAGAAATGCATTATTGTCATGACTAGAATTCAACACTGCAGTAGAATCGCAAGAAAATCGACACCGGTGAGATTAGAATATTCTTTTCTCGGTTATCCAAAAGTCCATAAGATCCTAGCAACAACAATGGAGATAGGCAGCAAAGAAACGGTCAGTCCTGATGCTCCGCCACAATCCTCTATCTCGTATTCCAAGGGATGCTCGGTGAAACAGCCTTCCAGGCGCCTTCTTTTAAGGTCGTTCAATGGAATTTTATGGCAAGGCGCGCTTTCCGTGCCATTTGTGTACTCAAGCGGCGAGATGTTCACGGGTGTTACCTCTAATCTTTTGTAGCAGGTTGGATACATTGCGTCCACCACCACCAACAATAAATTTGTGTGCGGTACCTGTAAATCGATATAAATTAATAGTTAATTTCGTCACCGAGTATAAGGATACAGAGTTGTAAAAATTTAGAGATACAGAAATATAGAAATTTAATGTCACTGAAAATTATACCCACGTATATTTATTCGAAACTCTGGATAGTACTATAAATGAGAAGGTCAAGTAGAAATTAGAATAAGATTAGAATAAGTAGATAATAACCCTTCGTGCGTAGAACGGTCTCGAACAATAATCCGAATGATTGGTAATACCCTCTTCAGCGATCGTATAGTTCATCATGTACAAAGTTCTCTTCTGATCGCAAGGATAATAGTAGTTATAGGGTCGGGGCGGCGGGGGAGGGGCCGGGGCGTCGCGACGCCGCGCTGCCAGAAAATCGTATCTCGCCTGGGTGGAAGGATATTTCTTCAGACTTTATGTTCTCTTTTCTACGTCGATCGATTTGAACTTGAATGTCCTTGGTTCGCAAAAAAACAAAACGAGTTCAGCTCGTAGAACGCCAGAGTGACGAGCTTCTATCGTTAATCGTTGTCATAAATTCTATATTGCTATTGCCTTTCAATAAAATTACCAGCTTCAGCTTAACAACACTTTAATTGCTTGCTTTCATGTTCATCTTCTCGGATTCTTTTTAAAAAGCAATATTAATAATGAAATCAATACAAAAACATATTTATACTTTAGTGACATAAAGAAATGCATTATTGTCATGACTAGAATTCAACACTGCAGTAGAATCGCAAGAAAATCGACACCGGTGAGATTAGAATATTCTTTTCTCGGTTATCCAAAAGTCCATAAGATCCTAGCAACAACAATGGAGATAGGCAGCAAAGAAACGGTCAGTCCTGATGCTCCGCCACAATCCTCTATCTCGTATTCCAAGGGATGCTCGGTGAAACAGCCTTCCAGGCGCCTTCTTTTAAGGTCGTTCAATGGAATTTTATGGCAAGGCGCGCTTTCCGTGCCATTTGTGTACTCAAGCGGCGAGATGTTCACGGGTGTTACCTCTAATCTTTTGTAGCAGGTTGGATACATTGCGTCCACCACCACCAACAATAAATTTGTGTGCGGTACCTGTAAATCGATATAAATTAATAGTTAATTTCGTCACCGAGTATAAGGATACAGAGTTGTAAAAATTTAGAGATACAGAAATATAGAAATTTAATGTCACTGAAAATTATACCCACGTATATTTATTCGAAACTCTGGATAGTACTATAAATGAGAAGGTCAAGTAGAAATTAGAATAAGATTAGAATAAGTAGATAATAACCCTTCGTGCGTAGAACGGTCTCGAACAATAATCCGAATGATTGGTAATACCCTCTTCAGCGATCGTATAGTTCATCATGTACAAAGTTCTCTTCTGATCGCAAGGATAATAGTAGTTATAGGGTCGGGGCGGCGGGGGAGGGGCCGGGGCGTCCTCGTCTAAGTGAACTTTGGCGTAGGTGGCTGGCAAATTCGAAAACTGGGTCGTGAACCACGTCAGACGCAGCAGAAACCAGACCAACAGCTTCCAGACGTACACGAACGGATCCGTCAGAACGCTGGCCGCATCCCTGATACGCTGCGAAACAATTTTATTCTTGAGATAACGTTTTTGCGATCGCGCAAACTTTCTCATTTTGTTTATGGAACGTTTCGCGCGAAGTTGGACCTATCTTCTAAAGGACAGATAAAACTTTTTCCACCGAAGGAACTCTGCGCGAATTAGAAACACGCTTGCAGCGAAACGGGTGATGCAACTCTGAAGAACTTTCAAATTATTTGTTTCGCTTCTTTCGCGTGTTAAGAACAGTAACTTGTCCAAAGAGCTTCTGAGCCATGATTCATACACCCTGACGTCTATTCTTATAGATACAGAAACATCCAACTCTATATGAAAAATATCATTTGCAATATATCATTTTGAAGTTTATGATTTGATCAAAATGGTTACATAATTCATCATATTCTTAATGGAAATTAATTCTAAAATAAAATTTTGTTGTTGCTGTATGGAAAGACTGATTATACGAAGATTCTTTTGTCGCTTCAACTTCTTCCTTAAACTCGGCTATTCTAATAATGTTACATCTGGAAGGTCGGCCACGAGTGGTGCTTCAAAGCGGAAGTCGTGACTCAAAACTAGATTTAAGATATAGCCGAGTATCCTAGGATTTTAAAAAGGTTGTGTAGACAAGCACTTACAATTTCTTTGCACCAAGCTTGATAATCATAGATGTCGACCGGATTGTAAAGACCCTGACCAACCATAGAATTCATTACTGCCCCTTCCTGTGTGCCCATGAATTGACCTGTATCATTGTGTGCTTCTGATATAACCACGTAGCCGTTCTGATCGAGTAAGTAGCAATCTATCCATTGGTGGGCGCAGTTCATGGTCGCGTTGCTCGGCCCTGAAGTTAACTGAATGAATCGCTCATAGAGATCCGTCATTGGCATTTGAAAACCAATCACTGCCGCTGGTGCTGTTTTGCCACCGTCTTTAGGGAATATTCCAATTGATACAGTTACTATGGCGTCGTACCCTGCTTCCCAAGGAACTGAAATTTATAATAATACATAAAGTCAGATTAGAAATAAAAGCACAATCGTTTAGTAAACAGATTACCTGATAGTGAAATGCTATTAGGATCTTGAACATTCTGAAAAATAGCGCCTTTGTACCAAGGCTCGTTGACGGCCCTCCTGTGAAGATCACCGAAGGCAATTCCATCATCCTCTACAGGCAACCTATTCGTATCCAAGTGATGCCACCTAGTCAAACCACTCTGTGTGGCGACAAATCTCAAGAATATTCCATAAATTTCGGCCAAGTTTTTCGCTCGTGTTTCATCAAACACGAAGGTATCGTCGAAGCTAGCGTTCGTAGCCTTCGCATCGAAAACCAGTAACTCCATCAATTCTTTATTGCAATAATAGTCTTCGTGCAATAGAGTCTGTCTTCCACAATTGGTTTCATTCTCGGTCGAAGTATAAGCCTCGTATTGCTCTGACCAAGTCCAGCCTGGCCGATTTAACAAATCCAGGAAGTGTCTTAACTCTTCTTCAGGTGTTTCGAATTCGTGTCCTTCCAGATAATGGAAACGGCAGTAGACCCAACCGGGGTGCACTCGCCAATTGTCGCCCAAGAAGAATTCGGAGATGTTCAAATTTAAATTTTGGTTCCTACGGATTTCGTTCCCTACCTGTACAAAAATTGACAAGTGTTTATTATAATATAAAATTAAATCCGCTATTCTGAATATATAACTTTAACGCGGTTTCTAACATAAAGCAGCCAGCTCTTCGCCTCGAAACTCTATTGCTCGTAAAGAATTTCACGTCTTTGATCCTCATTTAAGAAGTTATAGCAACAGCTCGATGTTTACCACCTGAGGTTGCTTTACGTTCCAAAGTTTATGCACTCCACAATCTCGAGAACGCAGCCAACTCTTGTGAAGCGAGCCAACAGCCAGGATTACCAGCTCGCCGAGAAATTCTAGGACTCTCTATAAACTGTTGGCAATGCGATGTATACACGTGATACCTCCAAGTAGGATTACCTTGATCCAAGTTGTGCCATAGTTTGGTATAGCGACCGCAAGACCGAAAGGCGTTCCGGGAAGAGGAGCGTAGAAGTAATCACGTTTTTCCAAAGTTACCCGACGGTTGTCATCGTAATGCAATTTCACGGGTATCCCTTTCATGCTGCCCCTTTTGTGATCCACCAGTGCCGCGCGGAGCTCCAACACCTCTGGCCCGGGGTTCCTGCACTCGTTTTTAATAGAAATCTCTTCTTAGCTCTTTGCGGCTCGGAACACGACAGCAATATCGCGGCTTTCTATGGTTCATAGATATATTATGGGAAATGTCATGAAGTTAAAAGGCGACACGCAGAACAACTCTCTTATTCTTATTATTTTTACTCTTTATACGAAAAATTCTATTTTCAGTTGGGTGCAAATGACGTCAGAAAAAAATGATAAATGATTATGTCAGTCTGAAGAAAACAGCGTTGACCTAGTTGACAATTATCTGCATCCACTAAAATAACAAAGATATCAAGGAGCGAAAGCAATGTTACCTTGGCCCACGACCATCGTCCAAGATCTCCACTTCCGTGAGATCAACGCTGTTGTAATTCAGCTTCAATTTACCCCCGGAGACGGGTCTCAAGTCCGGATGCAATATCACGTATCCGTTGTTGGACACGATAAAGGCGTAGCCATTCACACCGAGTTTGTACGGCAACGTGAGCTTTCGTATGTCATCAATTGGCACATCCGTACCAGCCACGCCTAGTAAATTTGCTATCCTCGTTCGGTTGTTGCGATTTCCTTTACGGTCGAACACGGGCGTGCTAACAGAGGTGAGAAGCCTATACTCCTGCCAGGATGTCGTGTTCAGCGTGGATGGATCTAGTCGAACGTCCTCGTCTTTGTGGAGCTGTTAAACGGTGGAATTAAATTAGTTGAGAAGCGTACAGTATTATTTGCTGTGGCGGTATATAACAGTGATGGGCAGGTCAAGTACTCATAGGCACCAATGTGCAAACCTAGGGAGTCCATCCGCTGTATGAGACACCGCGTCTTTATGGACGCAGTTGCCCATCACTGCTATATGTATGTATAATCTGTAATTTCTTTAGGCTAGCGTTAAGATCATATTAGCATGAAACGGAACAACGGTACTAGGGATATTAAATGATCCGAGTCCACTATGCAGTCTTACTTGCCATTTCTATCAAATCGATTTCAAATGATAAAACTACAGATGTCAAATTATAATGCTTCATTGCGAATCCCAGGATGCTATGCTTACGAAAAGTAAAAATTACGTGTGTACATGTGGTGCATGCAGTATAATGTCTGGGGGGAATAAAACAAGATAAAAATGATCTTCCAATCGGTAGTTTGCAGGAATCGCCTAGATTTGTCTAGCAGGTGATATTACGTTCTAAAGACAGCTAAACGCCAGGGGAAAGAACACATTGGAACACGGCAAGACAGATCTGAAGCTATAAGGTGATTGTTGCTTGCTTTGAACCTGTGTTATGTAGATTTCGTCCTCGTTTATTCGCACGCCCAGACGCTTCCCTTTCAGATGCTTTTGAAGCCTGGATTCTTGCTCCTGGTGCTCCATCACCAGCCACAGCCAAGTGGCGAGTGCTGGATTCTAATGGAAGGCGAATTAGAATATTTGCTGTGTACGACATAACGTTCAGAAATTCCTCAAGACATAGTTTTGCTTTCGCAAGCTACTTAACGCTGTCCGTTGATCATTGGCATGGCTCATTTACAAATTTAGAAAAGAGGCGCATTCGTTCTTATTTTCTCACCGTAACGTCGGCGTAGGCGTGTGTCCAAACTACAGGATGCACCACATCCTGAAGAACCAGAGGACGCGCGACTACGGGGATATATTTTAACACCTGCTCCCGAATTTCCTCTTGAGTATGCACGTGCGTGTAATAACCACGATTCAGACAGGCCATCCATTGAATTTCCCGTACTTTAGTTACTTCCTTTCCTAGGAGGTATGTGAACACTCTCACGGGCACGTGTGTGTCGTTGTCATTCCAGTTCCACGCTCTGAAAACCTGCAAAAGACAATTGAATTGTAATAAATCTCTAAACTCCTATGCGCCTGCATAATAATATGCGGATCAATAAATTACAATACTGTTAATCTTGAAGAGCAAAGATGAAATTAGTAAAAAAAGATAAGGCGTAGTAATTGATGTACTTATTAGCTATAGGAGCAATTCAATGCGCAAACATGGGTAGAATGATGCAACCGTATCGCGACAGTATTATCGTCAATGATGCGTTTTCTAAACGCTCGGGAAGCGATAAAGAGACGCAAGAGAAGAGAAAGAGAGGTAGAAAGCGAAGTGGAGGAGAAGGAAATACACAAGAGAGAGGTAGAAGAAAAGGGAAGACAAGGAAAGAGAAAAAAAGTAGGAGAGAAAAGGAGAAAGACGAAAGGAGAGAGGGAGAAATAGAGAGACAAAGACAGCTAGGATCCTCGCCGGTTCGAGTCGGATCTCATAAAACTGAAGAGCTACTCTCGTCGAGGATAGAGCTGGAAATACGACCTTTTCCCGCGGGGAAAAGTCGCGTGCGGCGAGAAACACTTGATTTCACCCCTTTGATCGCGGAAAGTGTCTACACCCGTCTTGGAAATGTTGCCGGGCTGTGAGTTTCCCACGGCCATTTTTATATAATACGGTCAAATATCAGTAGAAAATTGTCTCGCTTTATCGAAGTATAATTATCTACTTAAATATAATGAACTCGTTAATCGTAATTGTGTTTCGTGTCGTTAATGATCGAGGAACATGATAAGTGGCTTCATTAGAAGATTGAGGACAAATCATTTGGATTATTACATGTAACAAGTTTCAGCTCGAGGTACGATTAAACGTTTGGTCAAGCCTCTTCTTTCTGCCTTTGGTAAGCTCGAGGAGAAAGCAACGTCATCTTCTCACCTCGGTCAGATTTCCAGGAACACCATCGGTGACGAGCATAATCAGCTGATTACACGGTGTGTTCGCATCGCATCCTCGTGTCTCCCTGTAAATCTTCAGAAGACTGAACGCCCTGTTGAACGCCTCGGTCAGATTGGCGAGACCCTCGGTTTTAACGCTGTATAGCGATTTCTTGAACGTGTCTACGTTTTCCGGAGTAGCTTGGATCAGCATATCTTTGAAGCAGGGCACCATATCATACGTCTCGTTCGTGTAACTTAGTACGGTTACAAAATCGTTATTCGACAAAGTGTCCAAAATCACGTTCACCGTTGTTCTAGCTGAAAACGATAATACTCAACAGTTAAGATAGTTAATTGAGCAGTTTATTAGTTAAAAATTTAAAACAATTTATTCACCTATGGTCTTTCCCATGCCGGTCATGCTACCGCTGGTGTCCATAAGGATTACCATATCTTTGCTGCAAGTTGCTGCCTCTATAAACCAACTGCGCACTCTGCAATCATAAATGTCAGCCCCTTCTCCGTCCTCATCCTCCTCGCCCTCTGTAGGATTTGTTCTCCACTGCATGGCAGGATACTGCCTCAACATCCCCGAGACGGAACCAAAATACTGCCACGATAATGCTGGGTCTGACTCGTAGTTCTGCACAAAGATTCTGTCAAGAATCTCGGTCTTCTTGATGTCCTCGGCTACCGCGGGTGACAGATCATACACGTTCGTTGGTACATGCACGGAGGAGAAGCTCGTGTTTACCGGTATGTTGTAGAAATGCGAATCCGCTGTCAATTCTATAGGTCTGTAATCAGATTTAAAGGGCTGAGGTACTCGTTGAGCAGAAATAATTAATTTAGATATTGTACAAGAATATGCAGTGTATGGATGAAATAAATGCAATACTTAAGAATCTTGTCAACTCGGTACATTCGCGATTCAAACATTGCTATCTTCTTCAAATGTAGAGTATTTAGATCAGGGTGGAATGCTAGACCCAATTCGTAAGTCGATCATTCACCCAGGGATCGATACCGAAGATGTTCGAAGCTGCTCAGCCTAATTCCACTTGATACCATCGTTGGGAATATTCGATCATTACGCATCAAGAAATTTTCGTTCATCAGCGAAGTTTGCTTTTATTCGATCATCGTTAACCTTAATTGCTTCTAAGCTTGAATTTTGCTGTTTTTCCATTTTTCTTGTACAATATTATAATGATATGACAAATATTATCAACTTAAACCTGTAATAATCAATATTTTTCTCCATGTTCTCCGGAATCGTTGCATTCTCGTTGTTCACCTTGCTGTACTTTCCGGAAACGTAGGTGAAGTTGCTGCCCAGTTCGTCTTCCCAATTTTCCGCTTGCTCCTCGGCCTTCATACGGATGCAGGTCACCGCGTCCATCTTCCTTCTGAGCATCCTGCCGACGTTTTCGCTGATTATGCTCACCAATTCCTCCCCGGACTTATCCTCCACTCGCGTGTTCATCGCTTTGTATTTCTGCAATTTATTCGGAGGTACAGTTATACGCGAGCTTCTTTTTTGCCTTTGACCTGGATTCCGCCGTCTCTTTTTCTCCCGGTTAGTCTACAAAGGTCGTATTACTAATTTCTTGTTCCGAAACCGCTCTTTCTTTTTGTACGCCGCTTCACGCATTCCTATCGTATCATGCATTTCTCGAGCAACGAATATGGAGTCAGTGTGTATCATTGTAATCTCAAAATCGACTTTTCATTGTACGAAAAGGGGCAACGAGTATCAATGGAAATCGCTATTTTAGGAAAACAAAGGTGACACGAATGTCAGCTGTTCTTTATTTCGACAATGGTCCAGCTTTCACCTGGATCACCGACGCAACAGCTGCACTTTTACGTGGTAATAATCCATTCTCGCTAACAGTCTGTAACTAATTACTAGATACGGTGCATAAGCATCGTGGAGTGGAACAATGTTACCCCTGGAGCTTTTCTATTGATAGATTTGAAACCGAGTTTTTGTGAAAATGCATTCTAGCCATAGAACATTAATAATGCTCTATCTAGGGCGTGTGATGGAAGCGATAGCCTATTGCAGAGATTCCCAAAGTTTCGGTGATGGGATTTTTGGAACAGTGTCATCTATGCTGTAACAAACATATGACAGTCGAATATATCACACTGAATTATAGTATATTTAGATACATTATACATGTATAATGAAAAATAATTCGTTAGAAATACGTGGTTCATAAAAAATTACCATTCACAAAAATGATCTCTCTCTATAAAAGTTTGGGAATCCCTGACCTATTGTATTACAAATGTTTGCTTGCTTCTATTAATAACGTCACCGACGAGGGATGCGATGGTAATGTAACGCCATTTCTTTACCGTCGACCATAATGGATTCTTTCCTTGCCTATATTTTCTATATAATAAAATAGCATAAGTAATAAAATCATTTAAATATTGTATTAAATAAATTATTAAAAGAACTTCATTTTATCTTCACGCCATACATTTACTTATGTAAGATGTTTACCTCTTTTAATAACAAAACATTTATTTTAAAAAAATGCGTCACCTCTTCTAAAGGTATCACTAGCGACATCTATAAAACAAACATACAGTTTCGAACTCAGTTAATATTTTTCAATGCAAATCACAATTGCACAAATGATACGATTATAATTTTATAATGAGAGTAACTGCATCGGTAACACAAAATCTTCGTCAGTTAAATTACCTCCTGGTAAGAAGGAACGACGTTGTTATCATCAGAGTGACTATTTGAAGCGTTAATTTATCATACGTTGATACGTCGATGCGGTCGTTTATCTCTTCGCTTTCTTCTTTCTCCCACACTTTTTTATTTCTTCGCTTATCTAAATATATTCTAGGACAAGGTTTCAGTTATTTATCAATTTTCTCGGTTTCTTAACGTGTTTAAATGACTTTTATCGTTCCCCCTCTTTTCTATCTTTTATCTTTTAAGTGGCAATTAATTACGTACGAGGACGTAACGAAAATGGTTACTACGATTAACGGGTGCTGACGGTGGGATAGAGACGAACATACATGAATGAAAATTGAACTCACGCTCAATAATTCCTCGGGTCGTGCCACTTTTTCCGCGAGTTCCCATAATTCGGCACCTAAGGTTTCGGCCCATCGTCTAACGCTGCAAAATGAAAAACGAAATGTTTATTGACAATATATAATTAATCTTCTATTATAGTAGAAAATCACAGGAATACATGTTCGAATCTCGTATCGAGTCAAGAATGATAAAAAGTATTCGATTATCGAACAACAGGGTTATACATCTCAATGTGTCAAAATTCATTAGAATACCCCCCTCGAATACATAAATAAATTCCATCTTCATGTAACTCATATCAATCTTTCACTGAAGTAAGATCAATGATATAGAATCACTGTAGGCACAATTTCTAGAACAAGCACCATTAACTCAAGCAACGTACAGTAAAATTGTGCATTATAATTGGAACACTTCATTCGCGACAAAAAAAGCATTAAATTTTTAAACGTATCTTAATGCGTGTAAATTTGTTGCATAAACAGTAACAGTAAATATGAATAATTAAAAATATTAACGTTACTCACGTGTAAGAGTCTTTAGCGATGCAACTAGCGCTGAGTAGGTAAACGAGGAAAACCATCGAACGGGTATCGATTCTCGGTCGCATTGTTCGCGATCGAAATTCACTTGCGCCCTGCCTAACCCCAAAAAAACTGTCGCAAATTCGACTGCATCATCTCATTACGTGTTCACCATAAGAATACAAGTCACCATACCGGTCTCCACGTTCGCGCTGGTTCAACTTTGAAACTTCTTAAAACTCGAGAGGCCGGTGAGATGTTACGATTATTTTTGGTACACGAACGGCGCGCCGTCTCGTAAACCGACGAACCACGTAACTCGGCCTTTCAACGTGTTTCTTTCACGTGCAGTCGCGTAGTATTTATAAAATACTGCCTGTGAGCTAGAACATGAATGCTCCTGTAGAATGATTTTAATAGATGAAATGATTAGTGGAATTTATTTAACGAAATATAATTAAATGAAATTAACACAATGAAACGCAAGTAGAATCTCAGTAACACGTTATTACAAATCTCCCTGTCTTGCTCTATCCACTTCTCACAATGCAATACGCACTTCGCTTTCTTCCGAAAACAAGTCGATTCTTTCTAGAACTTTCGATCCCGGAAAAAGACAATCTTTGTACCAATTATCAGTACAAAACAAGTTTCATTCCAAGCGTGATTACAAGGAAGCTTCATTCATATCATGCACCTTTGCCACTCATACAACTATATAGTACACACCACACTTCTCTAGATGTTTCTTCCCTGAATTGTACTTGCGTTGAACAACCACGCGGAATCCTCCTTATCGACCATTTTGGAATATCTGTTACATTTAATATCGATAATCGATTATCGAAAATTTGTCATTGAACGAAAATTTTCAACCAGTTTGACAACCAGACGCCATAAGACAATAGATCCAATAAAGGGTGATTTCATTATTGCTTCGATTATTGACATAACTATATTATTATTGTCTTTAATTGTAACGAGAAAGCAGAGTCAAAGGGTGTCTACGTCTGAAAGGGGTATAATATGGATTTTTTAATGCGACGTGTTAATCGAATAAGACGAATTATTCACGGTAACTGATAATACGTGTAAACTGCTTACGAGACATGTGTACGTAGGTAACCTGAGATTCTGTGTAACCGTAGAAAAAGTCGCAGAGGCGTATAAGTTCCATCCTCACGACAGTACTACAGACAAAACATATATCTTCGTATATCAGAGTACCATTTCAGTTGTAGTCGAATTTATATTTTTTTCAGCTACGAACCACGTGTCAGACAATACAGACGAAATACGGTCACGGTGCTTTACGATATAGGAAGACGAAATCTGACCATAGCAAAAATATCTGATGCAATTTGACCACGGTCTCTTCGAGGCGCACATTTTATCACGATTCTGCAAAGTTGCGTTACTACGAAAACACGCACATTAAATTCTCCACGATCATCTAGTGCCGCCTCTATTAAAGAATGTTCGCCCAATGGTGTTCAGCAACCGGTCACTTAAGGTAGAATCGAGACTACGTCATACGTTTAACAAGTTTCAAAAGACTATTTATCATATATACTGGTGAGCACTATTGGTTAGTTAATTTACAAAATTTCAGAATTTCATTTAACAATTTGTAAATTTTAGAATTTCATAACTTGGAGGATTTTAGAAACTTATAAAAACATGACCATAAGGAAATGAGAAATATGTACGAATATAAATAAGGATAACATTGCATATTATAAACCGAATTTATAATATCAATTTATAAAGCCTGAAAGTGAAGCCGTTCCCGGGAAGGATACCCGTTTTACGAGCCATTTTGAAATGGACCAATCGACTTGGCCTCGAGAAACGTAGCCCTAATTTTGTATCCTTCAAAAGCGTGAAAAAAAACATTTCTGGCGGATCACATTGTTCTAAAGGCCTTGACCGTACTGCACCAGAAAATTTCTTTTTTCTCTTATAGAAGTAATTAGGCATTGAAATTCCGTCGCGTAAAAGAGAATCCTTCTTATATTTCTATCATATTTTCAGCAGCAGAAAAAAAAACGAATGTGTAGGCATGACACTGCTTAAACGAACGCAAATACACGTTGAGTAAGAAGCAAGGTATTACACATTCGTTTGTGGAATTGCATAGAAAAATCGTGCAGTTAATGAATGGAGGAACACGTGACATGGATCGATCGGATATCGCATCGATTTAGCCTCTGTAGAGCCCATAGCAGCCCACGTGTTCAGTTAAAACTGCTAAGACGACACCGTGCATTCGCACATTACTGCAGTGTGATTAAAATACCAAAATTAAAATATAGTATAATGGAAATCTTCTTTTGTATTAATATAAATTTCTAGGATAAACAATTTTATTTATTTATTTTCAGGTTCCAAAGTTTTCGTCATTGACAATAAGCAGAGGCATATTTAAATGTAAAAAGGCGATTAAACAGTGGCAAATATAATAAATAATTTATAAAATGAAAAGTACAAGATTGAACGTCCTAATTGAACGAATTCGGAAGGGAAGAAAATATAGGCGAACCGATGTAACGGGGATTCACAGGAGGGGATACGTGAAAAGAAGGAAACGTTGGCAATTATTATCAGAACGTGGCGAAAAAAGATGTTCGCGGGGAACAGTGCCGTAGAGCTCGAGGGGGAACAGCTGGTGCATAGGGATTGATATTGATTCGAAGCACGCGGAGCCGGTTGCCGGGCAGTCACGGGCCAAACGTACGTCGAACAAGAGGCCGGACTCAAATGCCTCCCGAGTGCGAGGAAATCGAGGACCTCAGTGTGCCGGAGAAGATTTCCTGCATCGACGGCAGGATCAAGGATCCTTTGCGATTCGTAACACCGGTCACGCTATGCGGTGCGGACAATTATCCTCTTTCTTTATCTTTCTTCTATCCTTTTAATTCGTCGGTGAGTGAGGAAATTGGATTCTCAGGTGCTTCCGGTATACTGTTTCTAGCAAAATTTCTGTGAAAAAAAGAACATTCGCGAACAAAGGCCAGGTATTATTTTAAATTTGTATTTGAAGATCATTCGAGTCATTTCATTAAAACTGAAATTCTAGAAGTCACACTAAATTAGTTGAAAAATTTAGAACCTGACCTCACGTGCTACTTCTTCACGAAGCTTCACGAGTTCCTGTAGAAGGATCATGTCGTAATTGAAAATCATGTGATGTATTCCATTAGTGATACAGTTATACCGGTTACTTTACAGTTGCCTGTTAGTGCAAAGTTTAGTGTCATAAAAGCTATGTTACTTTCGTTTTTGCACGATATAGAATGAATCAGTTTGTAACGCGTATTTTCCGCAATGCTTTCTGACGAAGTTAATGTGGTTAATTCCAGGAGAATGCAATACGGGATATAAGTTTTTCCTACAGAGTAAAAATAATTATGATGTTAAAAATTTGTAGTAGATTAAAATTATGTTGGATCTTATAGATTACAAGTATTCTTCGACCATAAACATAGATGTATATATACATAGTTATGAGTGAAATTCTTATCTATTCCTTGAACACATATTTGGCCTTCACCGTTCAAGTTCAGAGAATTAGAATCTAAACAGAATACATTTATTAATGTAAACTTGATATTTAAATTCGTAGTTTATTTTGTAAATTGATATAGTAACGAATATTAATTAACTAGGGACACAGAGAAATTTAAATGTACAGAAATTAGAAATATGAAGATCTAGGCGTTATCTACGAATTTTATATATGATCAACTTGGAATGTCTTCTTGTAGTTTAAAACCTCATAAGTAATCATTGTACTAAAAAAATTGTGACTTCCCCATAATAGGTCATATATAACTTGTCCACCATATTTTAATACTCAAAAATGTTATGAAAGTTCTGAACTATATTTTAGCTCCTAAAGAAGCTCTTCAGATTAGAACGAAACCACGAAACAAGTTAGAACAAAGAATGTGTGACTTGAGTTAGCGCGTGTATCGAAGCTCGATTGTTCAGGGGCTGTTTATATAGGCAGTGAACAAAGGGTGGAGGAAGGGAAAGAGTAACGTACGGATTGAATTGATTTCACTCATGGTGTAGGGTTTTCACCAGACAGACTAGGAGGTTAGTCAGTGACGAGTCAGGTGTGCTATCGTGCATAGTGGGTGCCTATGGTGGCAAGGATCGTGCAGGCCCAGGGTAACATTGATCGCGGCTGTTAACGACTTAAGTCCTCTGTACAAATTTTTGGTAATCATTTTAGTACGTTTACTTTTTTAATTTTCTTCATTTCTGGTTCTTCATAAACCAGTAACTGGTTGGTTATTATTTATTATAATCCACCATTCACAAATAACTTCAACTTTTTTACTTATTAAAATGGAGGATCATTCAAAAGTTATAAGAATTTTAAATTAGGTTGTTAATTTTTTATTACTCTGTATTATTTATTAGAACCGAATGCTTCCAATGTTCTGTGCCTACGTACTCTTTCCAGTTATGGTACATAAAACATTTTATTCGCTTTTTCCTTTTTTTTCTTTACGTTGGCATAGTGTAGACGCTCACGCGAGTAAAATTGTAATTGATGTTAATAGTTAACGTTGTTGAAGATAAGCAAAATTTACCATAACAATAGACTAGTTATCGATTAGTTACGATTAGTTTAATGTAAGCTAACAATCATTGGAGTTTTTGTTCGAATATGGCAAACAACATTTATTGCCGTGGACTTTCTGTGAATAGTTACGATTCGAAATATATTATTATTGCGTAATATCTACACGTAAATTACTTTCAAAAAATTCTAAACGCTTCTTACGCTTTTAACATTCACCGCAAAAAATTATATTCTTCTTTGCAAGATGTTGGGTAATTCACGTGGGTGTCTCGTATTGGGCTAAATTTATCAGTGCATTCAATATCATCAAAAGTATGTTCTACGTGCAATATTCCGGCATCCTAAAAACGATAAATATGTAATCAAAATACGGTACACTTAATTAACTTGTAATTTAAAATTTGTTACTCTTAAATTTCATTGAAATTCCTATTATACTATTTTTGTAATTGCACGCGGGACCCCAATTCTAAGCTAATAATAAAACAATTAAAAATTTACATATATTTACATTAAATATCCATGGCAATATTACAATACTGTACAATGAAGAATTCTTAAACTTTCAGTGTACAAGCTTAAACTTAAGTAAAGTATAAAAAAAATAACCTTAATACATATATCAAATTGATAGAGAACATCAATAAAATCTTAAACTCAATATATTATTCGCTACAAAATTTAAATGATTTTGTATGGTAACGTTAACGCTCAATAATTTTCAAAGGATGAACATCCTGAAGCCAATAATGCTACCTGTAATAGCGCGAGCTGGGTGGTAATAATAGAAAATTGTAATAAATTAAGAAGGAATTGGTATTGGCTGATTGACCACGCTGTCATGACTTCTACACACGTATACATACGGTGCGTGAGCTTACAGCGCTCTCCGTGCGAACCTCAGCGCCCGGGCCAACAGGGTTAATTAGTTCAAACTAGCCTCCATCTGTGCCGGTGTCTGGACGATGCGATTAAAGATTTTTACATTGCTGTCCCACCTCAATCGTTCCAATGCTTCGAATAAGTGGCGTGACATATCCTCTCTCCTCTCGCCTCATTTCAAATCGCTCTAGCTTACAAATCACGGTTTTGTTGTGCCGTTTCTAGTAGATCAAGCAAGATTTAATCTAAAACATAATCAACTTTTAAACTAAAATATATAAAGAATAACAGTTATAAAATATATAAAGAACGAGAATTATAAAATATATAAAGAACGAGAATGCGCGAAAACCATAGACACATTTATGGCGGGAATTCAGGATTATGAACTCGGGTTAGATCGGGAGAAGTCGGGTAGACTCGGGCGGGAATCCGAAAACACTCGTAGTTTCGAAGGTACTTTCGCGTTCTTTATTCCCGCCTGATTTTTTCTGTATCGCGCATCTATTTTATTCTCTGCTATAAAACAATACGTTATATTGCCATCTCGTGAAAAAATGACGAATAACAATTTATTGAACTCTGTACACTCATATTTCCAATGAATATTAACCTCAATTTGTAAAAACGCTTATCGAAAGATAGATGCGTATGAAATGTGAGAATTGATAATTGCTTATTCGCTCAAGTTTAATGCTTTTAATTTTTATATCTTATCGGGAATTTGATAAAGTTGCAGGTGAATCGATATCTGTATGTCTATATAAATAGAACAATCAGCAATATTTTATACTACAATTGTGTACTTTGATTGTGACGTAGTAGAACATTTTACACCCACAATAAAATTCGTGGTATTTTCAACGTCTAAAATTTATATACTGGGCACACACGCGTGTTCTGTGTCCGTTAAGACCGCTTTCAATGTCTTATTACTAACCTAAATGAAAAAGTGTACGCATGAATCAACTCGAAGAAAGCTTATACCCTAACATAATACTTAATCAGGTAATTAATATTCATTTATAATACAAAGTAAAAGGTCAGAAAAATTAAACTAACGCTGCTTTTCGCGCTGAAAATGAATTCGCTCGAATAGAATCAATATGGCTGCGTCCACGGTAGTTCGCTCTAATGACACGTGGAGGTTATGTTTCAGCTTGAATGGGGACGGTATTATTGCACTCATCTGGCTTCTGATAAAGTTTCTTGCATAAAAGATGGTGTTAACGTCGTACGAATGTCTGTCGATTCCAAAACGATATCTCTTTTTGCTCGTACAATGTTCGTCATGTAAGTTAGAACACAGTCATTCGTCAAAACTGCCTTTAACCAAATATTTCACACTTATACTTTTCTAACACTATATCTCACACTGAATCACACGAACGTCACAATGTCACGTTTATTATCACACTCATAAAAAAGCTATTAGATCAAAGAATTATCGCGTATCTATCGATTTAAACACATATACAATCTTTGTGTTTTGAATCGCTCACAATTGTAGAGCGCGAAATTTACCGGAAATGAAGAAACACGCATGTGTGCTCAAATCATTGTCAATTTCGAATCTGTATAATTAAAAAGATAATTATTGTTGATTGAAATCACAGAGTTATGATTATCGTGCGATTACATTGTCCAGATAGGATTAGTGGGGGATATTGCACGTTTGTTTTCGACGCTTCGTAATTTCCTGCGAGTGTACATCAGTGCTGTTTAAACGTTAGAAGCAATACGACGTGTGACGGTATTTAATTACTTTTTTCAGAAATGTGCAGGTATTCTAAATTATGTGATCGGAAATGATATCGTACAAATTCGGAAGGAATTAAACAGAATCTAAAAGTATTTTCCTAATATCGTATAGATAAATACTTTTGAAGTGTCGTTCGACGAAAAATTCCCGCGCATTCCTATTACTTTTAAGAATAATAATAAATATGATTAATAATAACGAATATCAATTTGCAGGTCGACGAGCGATGGTAAATAAACTTTGGTGCCAGGAGATAAGCAGGAAGTGGTTTCATAAGAAGGAGACACCACCGCATCCACGAACTCTCACCGAACCAAGATGTCAGAACCACGTAGCCACTTGGTACCTACTTTATCGTTGGTTAATCTTTATGGCTTGGGCTGGTATCGTTGTGTGTTCGATATTCGAATTCGGTAGTTTCAATCCTATGCCTGTGTACGATAAATGGCCAATTTACTTGACCAACTGGGATTTAGTGTTGGGCCTGTGTCAGGCGTTACTTGGCGGTTTTCTCGTTTCAAGAAGATGGAAGCTGCAGAAAATAACGGAGTTCGATCCTTCTATGTTGATATTAGGATTAACGGACAGGGTTTATTGGTTCCTTTACGTTGTTACTACCAACGTTGCAATCTGTGTTACGATTTCCTATTGGTGTAGCGTATACGATCCAAAGATTCATCATTTAGATCCTTTGAATATCATGCTACATATTTGCAATAGTATTCTAATGATCATAGACTTTTGTGTCACGAGTATTCCATTTAGACTAAGGAATTTCTGGTGGTGTTTAACTATAGTATTTTTTTACGTTATTTTTTCAATAATATATTATTTAGCCGGTGGATTAGACAAAAATGGTTATCATTATATTTACAAAATTCTTGACTGGAAAAAACCAGTACAATCTTCCTTGGTATGCTTAGGTCAGGCGGTTTTTATAACGATATTATATTCTATACTATGCCTTTTAGAAAAGTTAAAAAATCGGTTATATCTTCGGATTGGTAAAAAAGTAGAACAAATGGAAACACCGATTTCTAACATAGAGAAACATGCCGATATTGTTTAAAATTTAACAGCGTTAAAACATTTTTTATAATACGTATTTTGAAGGTAATCTGAACTACCGTTTGTGCTGGTCTAAATTGTAGTTTGAAGCATAAATAGTGCGCCTATGAGGGCAAGAATTAGAACCCCATTTCAAGCTCACTCAACGAAATCTATCGCACTGACAATATTAATATAAGACTAATAAGAATAGTTATTTGTACGTACGTGTTTGAAGGGTATAGCAAAAACACGCGAATAATTGAAAATGTACGCTTGCATCATTTACAATTTGGAAATTTTTTAGTATTCCTTAAACTATATGCACTATATGCAGTGAAAATATGTATAAAGTTCGATATAATTAGTATTACTAAAATATTATTTGTAAAAATTTGTATATTTTATCGCATCGATATTTCAAGGACATCATATAAGTGTTCATGCATAAACGCTATCACGTTATAGAAATTGGAAAATAATTTTTATAATGAATAAAGTAATAGTAACTATAAATTTAATAAATAAATGCATATATACCATGGCTAATATTTCATTATTCAAAGCATTAATTACATATTGTGGTACTGTGGCTACATATTACAAACAAAAATATTGTATCAAGAAATATTTTTGACTTATGAATATGTACGCATTTATATATGTGGAAGCATTTAACTTTATGTAATTTATGTTTGTCCAATTTTCTTTTATTATTTCATAATATGCGACTGTTACCAAAACATTCCAAATTTGTTTTTATTATTGTTAAGTATGCCTCGAGTGATGTATATAAAATGATTTTTAATGATGTATTCATTTTTTATATGCATTGGTTGTGATAGACACAAGGTTTCAGGAATGCTATGTACAATAGGACAATGAATAAACTTTCTGGAAAAATAGCAACAATTTATTAATAAAATAACGATTTGAAGCAAGTATGGACTGCAGTATAAATGAATGTAAGGCTAAAACAAGCCTTTTGATCACAGACCATATTAAAACTTATCCTATATTAAAAAATAACAATGATCAGTTTCCATCCACTTCCAAAACACAGTCACGTATTATTCGAGTCCCCGTAGGTTTATAGTACTTTCAGATGGTACTGAATCAAGTAATAATACCTGATATTCAGTTCCTACTACATCATCTTGATAATACATCGAAGGTAATTCCTCCGTGAATAATAAACTTCTTTCTTCTAAATCATTCGCACCTAACACAACATCAGACGCTCCAACAACAGAATCGAACACAGCTCCGTTCGCCTTCAATTTCCGTACATCAGAAATCGTTAAATCAGTCCGTGCTGAACCTTGATCTTTGCGTACGTGTTGATCGGTCATTTGCTTGCGACTCGTAACGTGCGAAGATGATTCAGCCAATTTTAATACATTGTTAAAAGGCGGTGGTTCTGGTTCGGGAAGAGAGTGATCTATTTCCGAAGTAGTACTAAGAATCACTGCATCGTAAGGTGCTACCATGATCATTTGCTCCATAGGTTCAGACACAGAAGGGGCAGTATATAAAATGTAGTCCATGTTACAAACCGGATTAGCAGGTATTCGTTTCGATGACTTATCACAATCTTCAACCGGAGTACCATGTACTTTTAACATGTGTGCCCTTAATGTTGCTTTTGTAGTATATGAACGCGTACAGGTTTCGACCGGACAATGGTATAAAGTCTTAGGTTGATCTTGCAGAGGCACTGATATATCTTTACTTTGATTTTCATCGTTACTTTTCACATTTGTATCGATATATTCAGTTTTTACCGTTACCACAGACGAGTCTGGACAAGTTGCGTTTATGTTCAGATCTATTGACTTCCTTTTCGATTTCACAACCGGATTTACCCTAGAACATTGCGTTTCCTTTACTTTAGTACGTTTTTGACCATTAACAGTATCGTGTAACTTCGTTTCTACACCTTCCTTAATTTGATGCTTTTTTATATGAACATACAGACTACTTTTTGCAGAAAATTTTGCATTACATATAAAACACTGAAAGTATCTCCCCTCCTTGTGTGTTAACCTGTGCTCCTTCAGATGCTCTGATCTCATAAATGCTTTTCCACAGGCAGGAACATCGCACACGAACTTGCGCTCGTTGGTGTGCTTTTTCTGATGTCTCTTCAATTTACTAGAAGACGAGAAAGCCCATTGGCAGCCTTGAAACGTACAAAGATAAGGCTTGCAACCAGTATGCGAACGTAAGTGCGCTTTCAGTCTACACGGCTTATCAAACACTTTACCGCATCCTGGCCATGAACACTTTACGTCTATTTCCTTATAACTATGGCATCTTTGATGCGACGTCAATGCATTACTACTATAGTACCTCTTCCCACATCCTTCGTGCTTACAAACATATGGAGCATGACTTTGGTCATGAGATTTCATATGCAATTCTAGAGCTCTTTTCGTCTGAAATTTTTCTTGGCAGTCTGGTACTTGACATAGTATCCTATTTGGACGACTGTGTAATTTCTCGTGACTCCATAAATTATAAATCGTAGTAAACCGACGATTGCAACCCTCTCTTTTGCAAATATAGTCTTTGCGTTTTAAATGCGTTTCTTTATGACGCTTAAGTTTAAACTCCGAATAAAATGCCCAAGCACATCCCTCGAAGTCGCACTGAAAGAAAAGTTATGATAAATGAATTAACCTTTTATAAATTTGTTAATAAATTATGATGAACATATAATCTATGTATACCTTAAAAGGCCTTACACCATAATGCGCTAACAAATGACCTTTCAAAGCATAGAGTTTACTAAATTGCCTCTTACAATCATCGCGTGGACAAAGCCATACTTTTCCTTGTTCACTGATAGATATTGGTTGTAAATTATCATCTGTAATACCTAACTCTTCTAGTGCATTAGATATCACCATTTCATGCTGACTGCTTGGATTTTCTGTACCATGTTCCATTGTGCCATTCCACGTGGTTGAAGTTTCTAACTTTGGCAATTTTGGGAAATTTCCTGTAGCTTCTATCAACTCCGAGGTCTTTCCTTGATAAATCTGTTCCTCGGTACCAGTATTTATAACAATTTGAGTCATATTTGAAATTTTATCCGTTGATATTGCTACAACAGCCATTACACCATCTTTATTATCTATAACATCTTCTTCAGATACTGTAATATCATTGTCTAATTTTTTCTCTATACCCTCCAATATTTTTTTCCGTTTCTTAATAATTCTTGGTTCTAACTTTACTTTAGATTTTGTTTTTAATTCTTCAATTATGGCAGAATCATCTCCAATCAATTTTGTGCTCATTAACTCTTGTTCTTCGGGTTCCGTATTAAAATCCTGTGCATAAAGATTTGCAGTATCTTCTGATGTACTACGAATCTTCTGCAACTGCTCTTCCTCTTTATTCAAACTGCTTATATCATCCATGTCATCAACCAGATTCGGAACAGATTTGTTATGCGATTCTTCATTTGTTATGATAGACTTTTTTATTAATGAAGCTTGCTCTGCTTCTGGACATATGCTGTCTGTGTCTCTATTAGGAATACTTAAAGTAGGTTGAGCACTAGTTGACGGTAAAATTTCACCGGCAACCATCATATCATCTGGAGATAATGCTAATGGATCCAAGTGATCCAGTTGAAATTCAGGCAACATGAATCCATCCTTCTCGCAGGCATCGAGCAGCTTTTCATGCTGGAGCTCCTGGAGCAAGGGATCATAACCTAAACTAAGTTTCTTATCGGACAGATCTATATCAATCGAGAGTCCGTCAGGGTCCTTTTCCAGAAAAGCGTGCTGGAGTTCCTCGCCCAGGTACCGGTCGACGCCCTCCTCGACCCCGGACTTGATCGCGTCGAGATCCATGCTCGACACGGACTCCGTTCGCGTTTTTAACCATTTCTCAATGTCGGCTACAGTCTCGACGTCGGCGGTTTTACCGATCGCGTCAACGTTCGGCTCGCTCGCAATACCGCTCGTCACTTGTTTATCCTTGATCCACACTTTCTCGGTGGTTTGCACGAATTCGTCGTTGATCTTCGCTTTGTGCTTTTCTTTTTTATTCGTCGCCTTCCTCTCCTCGTCATCCGGCGAAGCGGGCAACAGGCTCGATTGACTGTAACCTAACGATCCGCCTACGACGCCGACTTCTCCGTGCGACCAACCTCGAACCGAACACAAACCTCGTCGATTACGAAATATTCGCGGGATTTGTTTTGACTTGCAAGCGGAGGGAGTTCCTTTACGAGACATTTGACTGCCCCGTAGCCAGGCCTATAGGGGTCCACACCGAGCAACAACGCCGCCATCCAGAAGCGTCCAAACCTGGCTACGACTTGCCGAATAGTACCCCCACTCTTAAATTCGTTCCCCCGCGCAGCTTGCGATATGAATACGACTTCGAGAACGTCGATAATCGTCGGTAAGTATGATTTCCGAAGGTACGAAAGGGTTGATTCGATAGCAGTAGCGGTAGCGCGCCTTTTCAAGTTAGACGCGTTGCTACATACCCACTAAGCTCTACTGAAACTACTTCTGAGGAGGCACTGACTTATGTCGTTAGTGTTCCGCTGACTTCCTTTGAAGAAAATTCAAGAATACTATACTTTTATATGACATTCTGTATATATTTATGTTATAATTAAAAATTAAACTTATGCATTTTAGTCTTTCCTTTCCTTTTCTTTTTCCTAATATAAAAATTATATCAACTTTTTTGTAAGAACATAATTCGTGGAAAAACAAAAGAATACTTTCCGTGGAAAGTAAAATCAGTGTGAAAAATCACCGCAAATCACGAGCGATTCAAAAGTAGCAATTCACGCCATCTCTAGTGTCAACCATTCGACCAATTGTGCATTTATACCGCGTTTTTTAAATATTTCGTATCCTATTTCTTTTAGATAGATTTTATGCCAGTACACATTTTGTTACATTTGAATTCGATAATGTACACTCATAATTAATAATTACGTAGTGGTTGTACAGTGTATTAAACCATTTAGATTAATTCAGGTTAATTATTTAGTACTAAATGTTTTATAGAAACTGTAAAGTATTATAAATTATTTCTTTTTATTACGTATTGAATAGATCGTATTTATTAAATGGCGTATTATTATATACTGCAGTTTAATTTCTAAACTTCGCAATTATGCAAATTTACATGCGGTAACCTTATCACGTGTATTTGTATATGATGACTTCTTGCACAGTAATCTTCGCGGAACAGTTAATTGTAAACAAATCAGAGTGCACTAGTATACAGAAGCTATATAGTTTATTGTGAAGAAAAGATTCCAAGAACAATAAAAATATTTCATCTTGAAACTGTGAATTCTGAGTATGATCCTATGATTTCAAAATATACAAAGTTTTGTGATTGTAATTCACCAAATTGTCGTTGTGGAGAGAAGAATGGTAAAATAAAACAATTTGTAATTAGTTACACATTTTTTCACATAGCAATCTTTGGTCTAATTAAATATTAATATTTTATTTATATTTCCAATATTTCTGTTGTATCAATGTTAGTATTATGCTTTCAGTACATGAATGGACATGGGATAAAGAACACGCTGCACACACTGTTGTTTTATCAGAACAAGATATAGAAGTAAAGTTTCATCATGAATACAGTCATGGTACAGCAGCTGTAAGAGGTAACAAATTGTTAGAGAAAGGGAGACTTCACTATTGGGAAGTTAAAATGCTTGCGCCTATCTATGGAACAGATATTGTAAATAATATTGATAACACAAAAATGCTAGATTTTGAGTTATCTTTGTTGTAGCAAATGTGTATTCATTATAATAATGTAATATTTTCAGATGGTTGGTCTTGGAACAAGTAAGGTAGATTTAAATAGTTCAAGTCGTACTTTTTGTTCATTACTTGGGCTTGACCGGGAATCCTTTGGCTTTTCCTATAAAGGATATGTACAACATGGTGGTGAAAAACGTTCTTATGGTTCCTGTTTTGGACAGGGTTGCTTAGTAGGTGTATACTTAGATACATGGAAGGGAACTTTAGAATTTTATCTCAACAGAAAACCTTTAGGTAAATACGCTTAAATACATCATTCGTATACTTCTATATCGTTAATTGTAATTTCATATCTTAGGTATTGCTTTTAGCGGACTACAAGGTTATATGTTATATCCTATGGTCAGTTCCACAGCTGCACGAAGCAGAATGAGATTAACTTGTAGTTGTTCTGTACCGGTATCTTTACAAATAAAATGTTTATCTGTATTAAATTCTGCACAAAGAACATACTTATCGAATATGTTTCCGGGACTACGGTATCTTACTCAAAGCATTTTTGCAGATATATTAAAAGCGCCTTTGAGTAAGTAAATGATTATACATGTAAGAAATTAAAATTAATTTGTACCATAAAAATTGTTCTGCATTTTGTTTCAGATGATGACGATGACGATGACGATGACGACGGAAGGGATGACTTTATTTTTATAACAGAGGATTGACGATTTTGTTCACAACAAGAACAAAAGGTGTACAAATGACTCTTTTAAAAAATAACGTTCGACATTGTGTAAAGTCTTTAACTTGTTACTTATTTACAGTTAACTAAATGTATATAAATTACAACTAAACTTGATAATATTTTTTATATGGTTGTAAATGTCTGTGTTATTAAACATTATCTAGAATAACATTTTTCAACATGCATTTTTTTTATCTACAGATTTATTAACAGTTTTCACAGTATAGTAAAATGTATTTATTATTCTGCTTATTGCCTTTTAAGGCTTTTAGAATTACAGATATGTTTGTTTGTACTGTTTTTACGTTTGTTTTTTGACTTAGTAGTAGAAGGATTGTTAATTTTTGCACAGAAAACAATAGCTTGTGCCCAACCGGCTAAAGGACCCCATAATTCACGCAAATGAGTACTGATTTCTTCGTGTATTTTTGGGGTAACTGTTTTCTGCTGTACTAAGCGAGGTAAATAATTTGCTCTAGCAATTTGGAATATGTGAGTGTCAACAGGGATAGCTTCCAGGTGTCCCAAAGACATTAAACATATACAGTCAGCAACTTTTGGACCAATTCCGGGTAAAGTAATCAACTGTTCTCTAGCGTTGCTATACGATGTATTATTTCTTTTATGCAAATCTAAAAGCCATTGTTGTCCACCATGTTTCAGTAATCTTTTTGCTGTATTCGATATATATCCTGCACGATACCCAAACTTTTCTTTTTTTAATTTAAGTTCTGTATCTTCTCCTGATAATGCTTCAACGGATGGAAAAGCATAATAATCTTTGCCATCGACTGTGCAAATTAGACTGCCAAACATTGAACACAATTTTTCTACCATTGATGAAATCCTAAAAAATGATATCCTTAAGTAATACTGTTAAGTAAACACGTAGCAACTACTTTTTCTAACAAACCTTTGTATATTATTGTTTGAACTACAGATAAAAGAGAATACATTTTCAACTACATCTTGATTCAAAATCCTCACACCATTTGTTTCATTTAAAGCTCTTTCAAAATGATAATCCACTGCAGCCCACTTTTCAGATAAATCATGTAGCGACACATCTAATCTAAAATACTCTGACAGTATCTCGTCATAATTTAGAGAATCTAGTAAAGGACCTTGTACGTCATAGAACAAATGAGTATCATTTTGTTTAAGGGTCCAAACACATCCATCAAATATTCCTCTATATCCATCATTGTAAGAGAACCACCTTAAAAAAAGCGTTTGTTATCGATAATGACAATATTTAACAACTAAATTATGCTAAATGGCCAGATGTTGGTTATGTTTCTTTTTCAATGAAGTAAACACTAATAACAAATTACCTAAAACTTTGACCTCCTTTTAAAGTGATACCTAGATTTAATTCTGACAATGGACAAGCGATTTTACCTTGCTTTGTCTTTATTTTACTTTTGTCCATCCTCATTACCACCCAGTTGTAATTTGTTGTTGAATTTCTTTTAATGTTTCCCTTTAACACCCGGCATTTAGTACTTAAAGATAACAATTTATACCGCGAAATTTTTATCATTACATATTAAAGAATAAACATTTTTAGATATTAATCTTCAAGTGTCCTGCTATCGCGCGTTTTTAGTTCGTGTCGCGGGAACACGTGCGCGAATACGAACGCGGGAAACTCAAATATTTCCTTTATATATTCGATCGAGATACAAATAACAGAAGACTTCATGTTCCTTCATAAGACTTTATTGCAATTATTTTTATAATACGTTGTATATTTTATTAAAGATGATAGTACTGGGCTCCTATTATACATATTTACACTGATAAATCTATTAGTTAGTTTCTTAATAGTTTGCAAGATCTGTGCGTTATTTCCATTTATACAATATACATGTAACTTTATAATTGATACTATTCAACGTTAATCGACTTGTATAGAAACATTATGTAACCTAATTCTATAATAATACAAACTAACTATGATAATGCTTTGATAATAGTTGAGAGGTCCTGTGAATCTCATTTGAAAAGTTTGTTATATTTATTCGTAATTTCTTGAAATATCACTTTTTAGCCATACTGATATCTATCTAACAATAAGTATTCGGCATTTTACATATCCTAAGAATGTACCTCATTCATACATAAATACAAACATACCCAATACGTGTACAAATACAATTAACACGAAACGAATTTTACCACATACTAGGAAGATAGGAATACAAGGATATAGAGATCTAAAGATTCAAGGAATTTCGAAATATACATCTCGGTATAACGCATATGTTTCGCTTGTATAGTACAGTAGATTAAAAATGAGCGATAAGTACCTAGACAAAAAAAATTGACTCGTGTTCTTAATCCTCGAATCGTCTAAGCTATCCATTTCATGCTGTCTAACTTTCTCATGCTTGAAAAATTATAACTGCTTGATATGTACAATCTCGCCATAATTTATCTACACTATAATTTGGCATCTTTTAGGACGATGACGACTACGTAGCGTATATATATATATATATTAGAAATTATACCCTGTCTATCTCATTGACGAATTTCACTGAATTTCGTTTGAAATCCAAGAAAACTGAACAACTATACATTTCATTGCAAATTGAACACAGGAATTAAATCAGATTCACGAACGGAATTTACAAAAAGTCTACCTTATCCATTACGAGTTTATCTCGTGTATTGTCATTTGTGGGATTAGATGAGCAGGATGATTTCGACCATTCGTCCGAAGTAGTCGAACACTCGATAAACTATTACATCCCTGAGAATAGGAATTGACATCTCTAGAAGAAGTATATTCTACCTCTCTGTTATCCCAGGGCTTCACATAATTAACACTTTGACGTCAGCCATACTCCCGCAACGAATTTCCATCGTCACCCATTTCATGGGGATCTTTAACATAAATAATTCTGCTAAATATTAAATACGCACAATAGATGAAAATTCTTGGAAAATAAAATTAGAACGATTTTTTAGCATTAATAAGGAACATTGTCGCGAACGTGAGCCTGTTTCCGATACTCGTGATGCTGGCACTTGCCCGTCCAGGACCATTTCGTGCACGTTTTCTGCGGCTTCAGTACGAAGCACTTCGTCTTCAAAACATCGAAGAAGATCTTCCCGATAAAGTTAGCCGACGACGTACCAGCCATCTTCAAACACGTTCGAAAGCTGCAACGATACAAATACTTGAAGATATTTAAGCTTGTAAGATCGGATCGATTGTTCTGGTTCGTTTGAATGTACCGTTCGTCGCAGGCACAGTGCATCATGCTCGAGATGCCCCAATTGAAAAGGCCGTAACGCGTCTCGAAGGCTGGTATGAAGAAAGGACACGCCGTATCGTGTCTGCGACAGCAAGCATCTGCTCGACCGAAACCTCCTAGGTTCGTGTATTTGGTGGCCCGATGACCGCGTCCGCACCATTGTGTCCCCGGAATCATCAGCAGGTCCCTTCGGGAACGGCTCTTTCCTCTTCTTTGGCTTCTGTGGCTGCTGGTTCCGTTTAAGAGCTTCACGAACTTTCTGTAAGGAAGATAAGTTAAATTAGGGAGGAAGTTAAACTTAGGGGGTGGATAACGAATACTCAGATTACTCTAATACTCTAGAATACTGGAATCTTTTAGGACATTTACAGACTTGGAAATTTGAAGGATTCGAACCTTGGAGATTTATCAATTTTTCGACTCGAGAATGTAGACAATTATTTTTGCAATATACCTGTGACGATGTTGAGCAATGAGCTGGTTTCTCGCCCTGTTCCTCACGTGAGCGCACCGATGTCGCATCTCGGAGGCGGAGGAGAGCCAGGAGAGACCCTGAGGAATCGAATCCATGTCGAACATCTCGATGGACGCATCGTCATCGTAGTCATACGCGCTCGACGAGCAGGACTCGTCGTCGTTCTCAATTTTTTCGTCCAAACAGTCGGTCAAGCTACCGGCTTCGTATATCAGCTGCAACTTCCTGGTCTCCTGCAGCCACACTTGCCTCAGTGCCACCTCCGTACCTCTATTAGAGACATACGCATTGTATGTAGTAGGGAATTTGAATATTGTCATGAAAAAGTGGTTTAGAAGGTTTAGAAGAGGGGTGCAAAGAAGGGGTTTGGGGCATCGGGGGAGAAATTCACGGTAGATTAGGTTATGCACGCGTTGCTGCTGATTAACGTGCACTTATGATTGATGTTCCCCGCCTTATTTTCGACGCGTCGATAAGCATCTTCGACGTCGTCAAATTCGTAGTCGTGTGTCGCGTAGCAATGTTTAATCGCGTGGGTCGTCGACGTTTCTTGTTTGGTCACATTCTTTTTCACGTTTACCCCTTTCGAAGATCATTGCACATAATTTGAAGTATGTGTCATTTAAAAATTTTCAGCGTTTATAAAACTTTCAAATGCTCTAAGTTTCTAAGACTTTGAACCAAGTTCGCTTACGTGACACGTAAACGATACAAAATGCAATAAGTACGTAAGAAGAAAAAACCTGAAACAACTTTTTAAAATAAAAGGTATCCTTTTAGACGAATGTATTATTTAACTAACAGCAAAATCGATTAAAGAAGGAGAAAAAGACATCGGTGAATTCGTCAGATGGACGGAAGTAGCGTCGATGAAAAATTGATCGGTACGAAATCATGAGAACACGCAAGCCGCGCTTTTCTCGTTACAGCCAAAGAGCTTTCACCGATTTAAGTGCAAGGTGACGTTTCGCGGTCGTGGAATTGCCTGGTATCCTCGTGAGAGCATCCGCAGATGAGTTACAACTACTGGTCCGTGGGCAGGAGCAGCTTTCGTTTCAGGACACAGTGCTGCTCTTGGCTGCGAGCACCTAATCCTTGCTTACTTAACTTGCCGCTTTTCGGCTTAAGGCCTTGCTTGGCTTAGCGGTCACTGTCCACGGCTGAACGCGATAAATTGTTCTTCGATCCGGAAATTTAACTAAACGGGACAACGATCGTTTCGATCGAACATACCATTTTTATTTCATTTTTATGAGTGTATAAAATATGTAGGTATATCAAGATTTTGAAATTTCTTGTTAGAATGTCGGAGATCTATATAATGTGTACTTAATTTGAAATTAAAAATGAAGTTAAAAAATATATAAATAAACGACAAAACATAAATTAGTACACACATTTATTCTTTGTGTTGATGAAAATCAATTCTGATATCGAGGAATGTACTTCAATGAAAAAGTACCTTATAATAAGCTCGTGGAGCGGTCATTTGACCGGTTTGGTAGTTTTAGTAATATATATATCTACATTAGATATAAAAAATAATTAAGAAGAAAATAATTAAAGGATTTCAAGATATGGAACATGTATATAAAAATCTAGGAATATCAAAGTAGAGTATACTAAAGCAATTATAATTCGATAGCGAACGAAATCGGAGATCAGTGGTTCCAAAAGCGCTGCAAAACATTTTAATTTGAATAAAAGAAAGTCGAGTTCGATTTATCGGTTTGTATGAGCTTGTTGCCGCGGATTGACAAGGACGCAGCAAACTGCAAACGGTCGGTATCAGCGGCACGGTGAAACGACATCGTTTGAAAGAGTAAGCCAGCTCCCACGAGTATTGGCAATGCCCGAGAAAGGCAGCATTGTTTTCCCGTTTGTTAATACCCAGACCACAAGCGTATCCTCCTTCTCCTCGAGTTCCGTTCGGGCAGGGATGCTCCCAGCCGAGAAAATGTTATTCTAACAAAGAGGATGGGGCCATGATGTTGTTCGTCGGTAAAAAAACAGATGAACAACTTTCATCGCAATCTTTCTGACCCGGTTCGAAATTTTAGCGAAACGGTGATTTCTACCGATTTGTTAAGTAATTAGCATGCGTGCAATAAAGTGTTGACGAAGTGGTGGAAGTTTACGCAACCGTGGAGGAAAATTTCGAGTTGAGATATCGAGGTGTAGGGATATCGGGACGTAGAAATATCTGAATGTAAAGATGCTAGAATGTAGAGTATCCGAAGGAATAATATCTGAGATAAATAATTTGTAGAAGTAGTTAGGTTTATACCCCCAATTGAGAATGGTCTCCTTGGCGCAGATTCCAGGCAAACGAACGATCCGCTCGAGTTCACCGTCCTTTAAGATCCTGGTGACCGAGATGCCACGATTAGAGGTCCTGCTGATTTCTAAGGAGGAGTTTGAGAACTGGAGGACGTTCGATTGTTGATGAAGAGCTCTGGCATCCGACAGCACCAGGAGCAACCCCAATACCAGCAGCATCGAGTACCGGATCCAAACGATTCGTCTTCTTTCCCTGAATATACGATATCTTTTCAAATATCTTTACCAACTTTTACTATTTTTATTAGTCAGAGTTTTTCGTTATTTCGATTAATTATTTCATTGCCAATCGATTCTATAATTTTATACACTACTTGCTTTTTCAATATTAAATCAAAATTTGAACATTAAATGCAGGAGTTTATAAAGGAATTTCAAATAAATAGAAAAATTTCTGAGCAATTGTTAGGTTGATTCGTAACAGAGTTACAACGAAGAGTTTCGCGAATTTTATTCGGTATCGTTATCGAGTTTAGTCAGTTCGTCGTAAAGCAGCTTCGCCGAGCGGAAGAACGGTGTAACCAGCTATCAGTTTCCGGTATTCTGTCGCGATTTAAAGAAATTAAAGTGTCGTGGCTTTGACATACACCGTACGCCGATACCACCCGCTTCGAACCTCGTCGTTTACAGAGAATTGTTTGGCATTTGGCCATCGGCCGTTTAATCATTTTCTTTTCATCGCGAAGATAAAAAGAATCCGTATTCCTATGTGACTCTTACGTAATTAACGCGTTCGATATCTTTAAATCAAATATATGTATAAATAAAAATATGATCCAATTAATTCCTCTTATCTAAACAAAAAAAAAAAAAGAAGAAAAACAAATGGAGACGCGTGTGAAACAATGTCTTAAAATTACCACCGTAGTATTAATCATATTCGTGGATTGTTAAAAAAATATATTTCATCGTATCAGTTCACTACTTTACAACTGTAATTTTAGAAATCTTTCTATGAATTGTTATTACCATATTACTAATTAAAAAAAATTGTTGTTAAGATGTCGGAATATACTGCTATTTATACCTCGTTTAAGAATATTAACAAATAAAGAGCAATCTTCGCGCCGGCTGTTAATCGCAACGCCACCGTAATTACTTTCCATGCAGTTTTTTGCAAAAAAATCGTTATCGCCGTTGTTCATGTAATTCAAGAGAATGTAGAGAGATAACAGTGACACGTATGCGCTAACACGAATCTTCGGCAATCTTACGGTTTATGAAAACGTAAATGGCTTATTCATGCTTTCGCGATAAAAAGAAAACGAATATACGTCATTTAATTTCTGTATTTCGGAGCATTGTTATCGAATCGACACCGTAATTATTTGAGATTTATCGAGTAATTAAACCTTTGATCGTCAGTGATTATAATTAGATTGAATTAACATTAAAATCTGCTGTGTGATACAAGTTAAAATTTTGACTAGTTCGCAAAAAATATGAATGTGATTGTAAATAACAATGTAGAGTAATTACATAGTGAATTAATATCGAATGAAATATACGTAACATCTTATAAGGTGGACGAGGTGGGTCCAAAGCGCTCACGGAACCTTGTTACGCGCTTTATAAGTCCGCGCGATTTACAGAATCTGATAGATGTATAGGTACTTATGAAATTTAGGAATATAAATACTTTTGTATAAATATTCGAACTGACGCTTCGCAACGAATCGAAATCTATATGTACCTTCGTAGCACCCTCATCTGCACGGTCCAGCAAAGATCCGAAATGTTTCTCGTATTCAAACTCTTCCATAAATCGTGCACTTCCGTGAACCTCTCGTTTCTTCGGAAAGAGCACTATGATTCATGTTCAACGATTCACGGTTTCCCTTAACACTTAGCACTTTGCTAGAAATATGTAAAATTAAATGTCCGCGTTTGGAAGTTTCGGTCCCAAGGAACTGTGTTCTCACTGATTAATTTTCTACGTAGGAACACGATAAAAAGAGAGAAAAATTTGGTAAAAATTGAAGCACGTGGGTGAAGACGGTCTTTCGCGCCCTTTCTTTCGGACTCTGTACACGTTGGTTCTCCTAGAGTGTCATGAACACCTCGTGGAGGCAATCGGCCGTAGTAACTGGCGCGCTACGCTCGCGACTCTCCCTTAAATACTGGCAGAGAAAGCGAGAGAGAGAGCGAGAGAGAAAGGTTCTGGTGGTTGTCCAGTTCACCTACACCAGCAGCTATTCTGTCACTTACGTCTCCTTCTCCGGTGCTCTCCCTTCGTCGGTGCGTTTCCCATCCGCAACCCCACCACCTCCATTCGGACACCAACCAAAGTCTCTTGCCTCCCCTTTCCTCCTTCTTCCTGCTGCACCTTCAACCACCAACAGAGAGCCGCCTCTCTGCCAAATCCAATCCTACCCACTCACCCTGAGATCTAATCCTCGCATTCTCTCTCTCTTCCTCTTTGTCTCTATCTTTCTCTCTTTCCCCTTTTTTTCATCCCTCTTTCCGCTTCTGAATTCCGCGCACCTCTCTTTCCCTTCCTTTTTCCTACATTTCTCTTCCTCTTCCCCTGCATGCTCGTCTTTGGATCAACCGTCTCTGCTTTTTCTGCCTCTCCGCCTTCGCCTCCCTCGCGTTTCTCTTTCTTTTGTCCTTCCTCCCGCAGTCGCTGTTTTTTTACACCCTGATCCTTCTATCGTCTAGGCGACTCTCGCGACTTTGGTAAATGCCGGTGCATCCATCACCCTGCGTCACCCGCGTCTCGTTCGGAGGGCGCGCGAACACGGTACCCTCGTCTCTCCTCGAGGCTGAAGATCGCGAACAGTCCGCGGACTTATCGTCAAGTTCGTACGCTAACGGCTTCTACAGGATATGCGTTATATCGCCATCGCATGGCCATTAGCTTGCATTTTCAACGATTAGATCGCATTAATCGTTGTGCAGTATTACGATTACTGCACCTTGTATATCCAAACATTAGATTACTACGTGTTATATGTATGACGTGCAATCACGCCACTCGCCCCTTCCCGTCATTGCAGATCGTCAACGACCTGCAACAACAAGTTATCTGGAATAACGCGATCGGATAAGCAAGAAGTATCGATAACGTGATCGTTGATACCATAGAATCGATAACGTGGACACACGTGATGTTAACTGAAGTGTTTTCAGTGTTGCAGTGTCATACTTATTCCGGATCCATAATTACCACATTTCACGACATTAATATCGGGTTAATTAATCGAAGAGAGACGTAACTTCTGCAGCAGCAACCTTCAGAAAATTCCCGTATGGAATCTAAAAAGTTCAATTTACAACAGAAATTTACACAATGTATTCAAATTTTACCCGGGCTAATATATCAAAGAAAAAGAAGTGGAACGAATATCGAATTACCAGGTGCACGCGTCAAGTGCAATGACACGTTGAAGAATCGTTCGATGATCGAATAACGATCCACGTAAGCAAACGGAGCGTGCAAGGTCAGCGTTTAATCGTTGGCCAGGCTGCGAATTTTTCGTAACGGAGCGCAGGCATTCGACGTTTGAAATCGGCGAAAAGTTCTTCGATAATAAATTATGCAAGTCCGTGCGACAAGAGTGGTCCTCGTCATTGGCCATGAGCCCCCGGAAGATCGTGCCGCGATTGGCGGCTAGCCAAAGGTCGTTTCTCGCGAGAGTCCCGTGATAAACTTTCGTTCCAACGTGCAGCCGAGGCATTGCCGAGTGAATTAGCGCAGCTTTTCAATTTTTTCTACTGCAAAAATCCTTTAGCTAGAAATCTCGTCGTTCCTTACTTCTTCCTCTGCCATCGTGGCTGTTTTATTACAAATTCCTTATCGTATCTTTCCATCTTTTTACCTGAAACAATGGTCATCTTTGTAGAATCAGAGGTTTTAATGTTTATAGATCTTTTATGAAGATTTGCATATTGCAAGTTTCTACTGGTAGCAAGAAAGAAGAACTCTGCGTTCCCAAACTCGAGAGTTTTAAAAAATGATCAGTCCCTAAATTATTTGAAACATTGAAGTACGCCCCCTCAGTTAGAACACCTTGCCGTTGCAACTTCCTTGAAAAACCTTGAAGATGGTTGCGCCTCCAATCATCCGAACGATTCAAAGGGAGCCGAAACAGAAGCGGTCGCGAAACGTATTTCATGAGGTAGTTTGGGATCGGTAGGGGATGACTTTCGTTCAGGACTTCTTTATAGCACTCAGGAGCGTGCATACAGAGCTGGTGGTTCGTCTACGAACCCTCGAGGGTCGAACAATCGAGTGCCCCAAGAACTACCTACTCACTTACGGACTCTCGCCTCGACTAGACCCCTCTCTCTTCGTCTTTCTTTCTTCCTCGACCCTGTCCTACGGCACCACCGAGTCATAACCACGACGAGTACAATGGCTGGAAACCAGTGACGGCTTTTCACTGCCACTTCTTCGTCCCGCCAATTAATTTCCGTCCCGGGTGATCTCGTTCCTCGAGGAGGCCACTCAACAGCTGCCGATGGATGAGCATAAATCTTCAAAATCGTCCTGGTACCCCTTTTTTCCCGACTCCCACCTCTTGGTCCTATTAATGCGTTTCACTTGTGAGGCCCCCACCTGAGTTATAAGGTCCTTCGAGTGTTTACGACGCGGTAGTCATTCATCTTTTTATTGCCTGCCTTTTCTCGGACTTCCTCCGATCATTCTGAACTTTATCTTTGTTTTATAACAAGTGCCATTTAATAATGGGCACTCGACACCCTCCGATACAAGTTTCTGAACGATTATGGAGCTGAAATTGTTGAGTACGATTTTCTTTGGAGAATGAGTTTTATGTATACTGTTAGGGAATTCTAGGCCAAGGAATTTTTCAACTCTCGACAAACTTACCTGCACCTTCGTCCGGCAATCTGAAGGACGGTTGCTAGAGTAGTTTCGCTCTCTCACGATTGGTTTTATTGTTCCGATGGTGAAGAGTACTCCAGCTCGAACGCCTGAACGTTCAATGGGTTAACTTTTATCAACACCTTTGGAATCTTGAAAGTTTACTCTGCAATTATTCATTTTTCAACTATAATCAATATTTAATACAATAAAACTGATAAATTTTTTTTGTAAACTCGAATACACACAGCATCTGTTTAAAAAAAATCCGGTTAATCGATCACCCTTCTCGTAGTTCCAGCTTTCCAAATAACTTGGAGAAAAAGATCCATTGAAAAACAAACGATAAGAAAGAAGCGGAAGCAGGTTTAACATTAGCTCCGTTGACGTTCGATGGGTTCGTCAAACACTCGATGAAGCAAAGTTTGCCTTTTCCAGAAGAAAACGGTGACATTAGGACGTGACCGGTCCCCGCGCGAATGTGCTCGATCAACCGTCTCGTAGTTCTCTACCAAGATCCTTGGTCTATAACTAACTTGCTATTATTGCGGCTGAAGTGTAATTATCTCGCGATAGTTCGACCGCAAGATACTCCGGCTAACTAGAAGGCAATTTGTGGATACTGGCCATAATCGAATTCTCCTTGCCTTGTATAATAACGCTTCGAAACACGTTTTCATTTTCTAACCGGTCTCTTTTACGTTCATACTAAACTGTGATTAGGATGTGTATGGCAATGTGTTATAGAAACGCAAGAATAAACATTTTATCCTCGTGCATTGTTTTGTTATCGTATGGGCTGTAATTCTACGAGCCATAATTTCACGCGCTGGAATTTCACTCTTTAAATAGTAAATATTTTCGAATGGCTCGTTATATCTTCACGGGTCATAGCCACGTTACAAGAAGTAATTAATTCCAGTTCCAATCTCTTACACCACCTGTAACAATGCATCAAGAATCTATATTCGACTGACTAATTCCTCCAATCAATATGCAGCAATTCATAATGAAATTGAAGAAACAAGAACGTTCCCAGGACGAGCAATCGTCTATCATCACTGCTGATCAATGACTAATTATACCTTGTAAGAACGTAAGGAGCATCGGGTCCGGTATCTATCATCCATTGGAGATCCATGACAAGAGGCTAACTTCCATTCCGAGTCAAGTGTTCGGTCCATGATTATTTCTACACGTCGCCGGTCTCCCGCTCGTTTCGATGAAGGTACAAGCTTCTAGACCTCTCCTTTCAGGAGCTAATTAATTTTTATAGCTTCGAACGGGGGGAAAGGGAGACTTGGTAAACCGTATGTTCCTTGCCCGGATCCTGCGGCAGAATATTAATGGAGCGGCCCGTTTTGCCTGGTTCGTGTTTGCAGATTTCGTTCGGGTCCACTTTATTTGCGGATCGTCTCGTTGTTATAGTTTCTGCCATTCTGCTCCGTTCATATTCACGACGTTGACATTCCTTTACCAACAGCTTCTTTTTGCTCCTTTGTGGATTATCTGACATTAAACGATGATTGTGTGATCATGTATTAAATAATACATATTCAGACATGTACTGTGTATACATATATACATACATTAACGAAGTGAGGTCGTTGAATCGGTTATGCCTTTGTAAAAGGAGTTTCTGATCCCACCATCAAATTTATAGGCGCCATGATTTTTAATCGAACCAGCTGCAACGTATGAAGTTCTTCATCGTTCGTGGAGAATAAATTATCAGTCGATTAACTGCTGCTTCTTTCTTCAGGGATAATTAAACTTCGGGTATCGAACATGGTAACTGTTTGTTCAAGCTTGCACAGTTCGAAGGGTGTCGTAAATCATTGGTCGGAAATTGGACTGTGATGATCTTAAAATTGGTACGATTAATACTGGAATGTGAGACTGATTTTGTACCGATCGTGGAAATAATGTATAAATACATATTTAATGAACATTAGAGAAAATACCTTGTACTGATCCTGCGCAGTTGATGAAGAGTTTTGCTTCTAATAAACTTTTAAAATCTATTTAAACATAGTATTTATGACATAGCATTTTCTGAGAAGTTTCTTAACAAAATATCAATAAAGTCATCCTCTTCTACGTTGAAGGAACTAGATAGAGTAACTCCACCTCGATAGATATTTATCGATAGTTCATTTTCCGAGAATAAACGTCTTTCAATTTCTTTATCCGAGAAGACCTTATCGAACACTAAAAATGGCAGAACAGTCGGTTATTCAAAAGGAATTATCGACAAGAACTTTACGAATGAGATTGGTTAAGAATAATAAAAGCACTGTTTGATCCGTTAACGCAAAATGCTGTACAAGCAAAGGACGCAAACAAATGGCCACATTCAACTGGATATTCTTATTCGCTTAAATATTATACCCGCATCCATGCCTCTCTGTCCGAGGCTTGCACTTCATAGGCTGACATCTTTATTACTGGCATACACGACTTTTCCTTTTGTGGGTCATGATTCCACGAATTTTTCATCTAAAACAGATTACAGAAATAAAAACGTAGATACACAATCTGTATTGTCTGCAGGTATTTATGAAGGATGTCAATCCTGAAACGATGAAAAAGATATGTTACTTGATTTCTTATATACAATATAGGATATTCTATATTGTATTTGACCTAGATTTGATGCTAGAATTACAAGTAGCAGACACCTAACTGCAGAAGAAGACAGCTATCTTTTTTAAGTTGTCCGAGAGAAGAAAGGATGTTGAGGAATGTCCGATAATATTCAGACTTACATCTTAAATTCGAAGCATTCGCAACACGTCAATTTGATTGATCAATTGACGGTACGAGACTGAGGACTTTCTATTGTGAATCTTCGGAAAGACAACGTGTACTGAAACCGAAAAGGTCCTGTATTATGCAAAAGTCTACACTTATTTTAAATTCTCTTTACATTCGTTGGAATGTCCGAAGAAATTCCATTTTCCTATGTGTACATAATTAAACGGTTTAAGATCGAAACAGTGGTTAATCATCCCTTCAATAAGTTAGAACCGCGTGCAGACGATTCTTCGTCTTCGACATCGGTTTGTCGAGGGATGAATTAAATGGAACGGGGAACGTACGAGGAACACGGTAGTAAATCGACGAGGAAATCCCTGGTTCTCGTCCCCTTTCCGCGAGACACTCAGGCCATTCAGGCAGTCGCCGTTTTCCGCGACAATTGTCGGGCGCAATGCAATAATTGCATAATTCCCGCCACACTTGGCACTCGGTAGAGCCTGGTCGGGCCACGAGTGGTTGAGCCGACCACGCGAAAGGGTGTAAGCTCGTTCGTAGCTACCGAATTGTAGGTTGTAAGTTGTAGCTAGAACCTTTTCTTTCGCTCCACGAACTCTCCGAAGGGGGATGAAATTTCTGCCTGATGCATGCTTCTTTCGACGAATCTCCACCACGAGCCTCTATCGCAAATTGATCCTGACAGAAGAAAAAATATTACATTATTTCATTCGAGCAACTAACATTTATATTTGGGGTGAACTTCCCTCACTCTATTAATCCTGCAAACGCCAGACTTTTACAAATTTAAACAAGATATAGATATCTTAAAAGAAGTGTAGATATAGAAATGCATAGAAATTGAAATATTTAAAAATATGTAAAGGCAATGTCCCTTAAACAGCAATGTTCTTTTAAACAAATTTCAATAGAACATAAAGTTATTCCTAAAGAAATATAATATTTCCGTAGCAGAATTCGATGAAAATTGTGTAAGTTTTTATCAGGTCAGCGGCGGTGTTCGAAAGGGAGAAATAGTCTGTAAAAGTTTAACGGCCCTTTGTGCGAGCGTCACCCGTTACAACGCAACGGGTTCCTTTGGTTAAGAGCCGGTAAAAGTCGAAATGAAGGAAGTTCTCCTCTGAATTCTATTTCCTTCGTTGAGCGGTTTTCACCTTGCCTATCTGTTCTTTCTTCCTCTTTCCAACCCCGCCTTCTTCGGGTCAACCATCTTCAGCGATGAATTAAGTCGTTTTCACTTATAATTACTAACAACGGGCAGCTTCGTGTCACCTGAAATTATTCCAGACAAATTGTTCTACGTTGAAAGAAGGTAACTAATGGTATACCAGAATCCTCGAGTTTGTTACCTGTTCGAGAAGGGTTCATTGTTGAGAGAATATTACCCTAGATTCCTTCTTACTCGCTGCTTCAATGAATTTCAATTTTAAGGTCCTTAATTCATGGTAATTGTAGAGCAAGTTGACCATAAAAAATCTGTAACATTTTAAGTACCGAGCTTATTAAGTCTGAAGGCTTTTCTACCGGATTGACAAAACTTTCTAAATATTTAGGCACCTCAAATTCGGAACGCTTCCCCCATCATGTTCGTAGTCCATCCGATCTCTTTCGACGTAGTGAAAATCGCTTAGCTGGTAAACACGCACAATGCGTTGCTCCGTCACGGGGAATTTGTTCGATCGGTTACAGCATTGTGGGTCAAAGATTTGTCAGCGCGTCCCGTTGCAGGGGTGGTTGACTTCGTGGAAGAAAGGCGAAGAAATGAACTGGCAATCTCATCGATTCACTAAAACATCCGTCTACCTGATAATATTTACTGCTCGCTCAAACAAATGGAAGAGGGAGGACACTTTTCTTGGAGAATCGATCTTTTGAGAAACCACCATCAACCGTGCTATTGTTAAAGGGACGTGAATACGGCTTATGGGAGAGTTTCAAGTGGTCCAATATCACGGTACTAATTTCTTTCTTCATTTTAGGATGTTCGAAAACAGTATGAATGACCGTAAAAGTGGCAATATTTATTTACTTCGTGCAGTGAAGTAAAACACTGACTGAGTCTGTGTTACACTGACTGAGACTGAAACGTTAGAAACCGATGATCGAGGAACGTAAGAGATCAGAGGAAAGAAAAACTTTGTGCACGATCCGGGCTGCGGCACAATTCGCCACTAATTGATTTTACGACGTTCGTTATATTGACCGTGAAGATCAGACAAGAGCTGGTAGTAGAGGGTGCAGATGACACTCTGCTGCGAGCCATGCATGACGCCCTTTTTCAGCAAACCAGATACACCCGAGGAATCTCTTATGTACCCTGATCGTCGAGACACGATATACGATCTGTACGTGCGCTCTGTTCTTTGTCCTCTTAATGTTTCACCGATAACGACGCGATCGCGCTTTCCGAAGAAATACTATTACGGATAATGATAACTGCGTAAAAAATAGAGCTTGCGAATGCGTGAAGTATTAACAGCGATCTTCGCAAGTTCTTTGACAAGTAGGTCACCAGTGATCCGTGCTGTTTACAAGCAGAATTTTTTATCAAAGAGAAGATGTCAACGCGAGAAAATTCAGATAAAAATAGTCATAATCGTTAACAGACATAAGACATAATTGTTAACAAGCCTCTAAAATCGTTTTCCTCTGTTATCAAACTAATCCGCGGATTAATTGATACAGAATAAATAAAAGAAAGAAACGATCTAGAAATAGGGTCTGGATACAGGTCATAGCCTCGATTCTTCTCGTCTGGTGGCATTAGTTGCCCATAGAAGAACAGAATCCCTCCAATAGGATCGGGACGATCTGAAAAGGAGGCAAGATAGGAACGAAGGAAAGTCATCTCTCGTTCTCCTCTGCTCCTTCGGCTATCTCTCACTCCAATGGACAATGAGACAATAGAGTGACGTTTGCGAGACGCGATAGCTAGTCGGATTAATTCTCGATCGATTCGAAGGGAACCTTCTATGCTCTCCGCTCTGGGACCTCTACTTTCACGTCGAACAGCCAAATGTTGCAGCACAGCTTATCGTTTGTCACGGGAAAATCTGCAATTTAAACACGCACTGTTTAATTCATCCGCTGCGGAGATTACTTGTCATTATCGATATTAACGAGAATAAAACCTGTTCGTGTAGCGGAATTCCTTTTTAACTCGAATTGAACTTATCTCTTACTGCTGGAAGCGTACAGATACAAAAATGTAACATATTGTAACCTTTATTGGTGATTTGGATTTCGGTGCAGTTTATAGATCTAATAAAACTGTAACATAAACAATCTGTTCTATAAGAATGTGTTATTTATGTAAAAGATGTTAACTATCGAAATGCTAACTATTGGTATGCACGTGCGAAAGGCCCACTGCGTCGAATTATCGTTATCATAACCATCTGCTCGTCACTTTTACAAGCTTAAAAGCAGCAGCGAACGTACGTCGGATCAAAAGGAAGCCGACGCTTCCGCTTGTCGTGGATCGAAAACATAACGCGAAACTCCCAAGTGTATAGATTCCAAAGTGAGCGACGAACTGTTCGCCAAAGTACCCCTTGGGACAACGAGAATTTTATACGAAGGGGGAACAAAGAATGTTCGGGTGTATATATTCGTTTCGATGTTATTCCATCGGCCTTTTGGGAACTCAAATATGCGATGCATCTACGAGTCGCACGGATTGAAGATCAAACGATTGTATCTGTATCGTTTGTCTGATTTACTGCGTTTAAATTGCAGCATATCAAGCTTTTTCGATACAAAAAGAGGTTGTGTAATGATTTTTTGAACGCGTATTCGCAGAACATTAGCACAGTCTCTCCAATGATAAACGGATGAATTGTCGTTGAACACGAGTTGATTTTCAGGGTGGCTCGAAAATCGATGAACTTCTGGCAGGTCCTAGGACTAATCGTGATCGATGGAGCTAGCCGCACGTGACTCGTGATCTATCGCGTGGAAACGGCCGATCGCGATATATGGACGAGAAAACATTTCGTTCTTTCGTCAGGCAGACTTCTCTTCTTTTTTAATGCAATCCTATCGTGTAGCTCGTTGACCGTAATCTAAAAATGACCGTAGAATAAAAAGTTATTAAACGAGCTAAATCTATTTTGAGCGATTTTAGAAATCAGATGAATTAGGTCAGGTATGCAGGCCAACTAATTGCTTGGAAGGTTTAAGCTCTCGAACACGCATACCGATGCGCTCATTTTCAGGAAACCCCATGGTCACGAATGGTGTGGGTCAAGATAGAAATCTTCAAATTATAGCTGGCTATATAGATGTTGAACAGCGACGACGTAGCTCGTTAGTGGCCGTAGTATCGATGACCCTCATTAGGTAATCATCTTTTAATTAAGTCGAGGTTAAAAAGACGCCGCTGATAGTCCGCGACCACGTGTAATGATCACCTTGCCCTACCGGTTCAACGGAGACAGGTCCCGTGTCTTTGAACGAAGCTGACGTACAACTTGACGCACTCTCACCTGTACGGATAAGCGATGATCTTATACTTCGTGGATTATACTTCACTTTCGCTATAATGTACAGTGCCGGGCATTGTAGCCTTCTCTAGGAAAACTACTGATGCAGAGCTAAGGAATTGCCAGAGGTAGAAGCACGGTTTAACATTTAGACCTGTCACGGAAAGTGAACAGTGGCGTGAAAGTACTTTAAAATGGCTAATCTGATATTCCTTTGTAATCAACGACGCCTTTACACTCTCTAAACAATACATAAACTCTTGTTCAAAGCGGCGACGCGACATTACGCGACTTCTTTACAGATGTTCGTTCACGATCGTCGTATTCTACTACGAATAAATATTTAGAACAAATATTATGCTCTGTTTATCGCTGCAACTGCAATCATTACATTACATAATCGTGTAAAAATGTACAGTTTGTTTTAATAGCGCCTGAAGATACCTAAACGAAAACTTAAGAAGGTAAGCATCGTAGGACGGTTTCGGTTATAGAAACAACCTTGAGTGTTCAATTGATTCTTGATAGGCCCTTTGATACCTTTGTGGATGCTGTTATAGAGAGCCTGAATGTGATAGGAAACTGTTGCGATCGTTTCAATCCAGAGAATCAATTCAGATTGCAACCGAAAGCCTATTAGAAACATCGTATAAAAAAAGAATAATATACGTCTTTGATGGAGTGCATCGAGGTAATTGATACGCAGAAAAATTGCGACTGACCTGCACGATGCTGTAGCAGGAAGGGGATGGTCGACGAACGGTTGTTTGACGGCATCGTCCCCATACCGAGCCACGGCAAACCTGGTATCGCATTCACGGTCCACTGCCTCAGGATTCGGGTCTCCACCCTGCATCTACGCTGTCTCCACCTCGTAAAAAAGAGAGAGAGACAGACAGAGGGAGCATGGTGGAAGCTACCCGTCATTGCCAATCGGTAACCATAGATCGCCGGATTCGAACGTATCACACGACGAAACATTGCTTTAACAAATAGTTACGGAACAACGCATTCGTCTTAGAAATTGCCGTCGATAAAAATCCTTCGGCGAAGCTGTGCTCGCTGATGGAAATTTATCATAAAAACCACCTTCCATTTACAACATTGGTGCATGCAAAATCTGTAGTCATCATCTTTGTACATGAATTAGGGATACATCAATCTAAGAATATAGCAGCAATACACGTCTCCGTATAATAAAAGCTCTTCTTTACAGCTTGATGTATTCAAACAAGCAGGAAATGAAAAGATGCCTAAAATAAAAAAAAGGAAGATGCAGCACAATAAATATGTACATACGGGTAACTAAAAAGTTATCAAGATACCTGATACTTATGTAAAAAATAATTTATTCTTTCTGGTAGTTAACTCGATCGTTTTATTCGAATACGGTAACGCGGAACTCTGCCACGCAAAGTTATCTATCAAGGGGATATAAGTCGTCGTCGTCGTCGCGTGGTTAAAAAACGGCTAGAGCGATATACACAGCAGGTGCGCGTGCAGACAGCTCGAGGCGCTTACCAGTTAACCACGGGGGTGAGCAAACCTTTTTCTGAAAGGGTCGAGTAAGAAGCTGCGGGATTTACTGTGCCAAAAAGAGGTCACGCTATCCTTAAAGCGAGCGTGCAAGTCTTTTTAATCATCTTGTCAGGCTAGTATAATCCGTGCAAATCGTTCGTAAAAATTCTCGCTACTCGCTGCAACAGGCATCGCTTCTAAAAGAGAAGAAAGAGAAAAGCAGTATTTAAAATTGCTTTGAAATAGAAAAAAATTCGTTTTCAAATTTTTGCGATTATAATTATCTCCGTTCCTCCGTAAACGTTTGTTTGAAAAACAGATTAGGTTAAGTCAGGTTTTGTTAGATTAGAATAAACATGAATAGTGAGGAGATATAAAAAGAACGTTAAAAAAGTGCCTTAATTTTTAAGTCATCAAAGATCTTTCATACAAAGATCTTTGTCACACCGGAAGTGCAACATAGTCAACATTCATTACGAAAACCTTAAAAGAAAAAATTAAACGTTGCAGATGCGGTCGAAACGAGAACGAAGGAACCGAGTAAAAGTTTGTAAAGATAACATATAATCTGACGTGTATCTACGTCGAGCGCGGGGTTGACTCAAGAGAGAAAAGAAAATGAATGGATGGTAACTGTAAGATTCTCATTCCGCCAGCACGCATTGGCTTTTTGCCAAGTCGTGAACGCGGGGCATTAACGTGCGGGATTGCTTATCAGTTGCTGAGTCCGCGTTATTGCGTCAACGATGACCAACCGAGCGGTAGCTGTGTTTCTGTCCCGGTGCCACCTAGATGCCCCCACGTCTCATAACTCGCCAGATATCGGCTATAAATGACGAAAGCGATCGCATTCGCGGGTACTTGCATCCATGATATTGACCCTCCATCGATTATCAAACTGGCGCGCGTAGTGAAAGACGCTCTCCTAAAAATTCTCGATCTTCGAATTTCGGCCATATAAAAACATTGAAAAACTGAAAACGATTTTTCGATGTATATTTAGAATTAATAAAAATAATATGTGAAATAATGTATCTCATTTGTATAATTACAATTGTAAAAAGAAATGATAATTAGAGTAAAAAGAATTATAAACAATAAAGAAATGACAGTACATACATATGCGAAAAGTGTGTGTATAGCGATTACTATTGTTGACATCCTACTTAATCGCCCTACACCTGTTTCACCCCTTCACATCCTGAAATAATTGATTACCACGGAACCTGTAATTATAGGTTACCGCACGTTGCAATGGAACTTTCGTTTTTTCTTACACTCATAGAAATCGATAAGAAATTTCGTATCGATCGAAACAATTTCATCGAAGTAAGAATATTTAAGCATTTCTGTAAATGAAAAATAAACAAGTTAAAAATATTCGTAAAAAAGGAAGCCAAGTTAAATTCGTAATTTGTAAACATTTAAATATGGTGGAAGAAACGCGTCGGCGGTACAGTGTTGCCAGTACGGAAGTGCTGGATGACGCTATTGCCAGCTAGCTATGCTCCCTCCAAAACCGCGCGTGCATTGGCAGCATTGTTTTTTGGTAGTTTACAAATAAAATGGCCGATATATGAGGCTATTTTGTATGGACAATAAAATATACAATTTTGTAAAATTAATGACCATCGGTTGTTCGTATATGTATGTCAAAGTACAGATTTAGTGGTGTGAAATACGAGAAAAGAAGGTGAAGTGTAAGTGAACGTGTGGGAGTGCCGTGAGAAGAAGGTGGAGGTTGTCTTTCAAGACCCGTGGACGCCGCGGGCCCGAAGACAGAAACGAAGAATCACTTACAAGCTCTAATACATACGACAGTCAACCAACCACTGTATCATTTACATTGACGCGCGGTGGCGCGGTGGCAACTATATAAGAACGGCTGTAGATTTACCGAGCCTGGTTTACATCGCAACGGGCCCCCTCTGCCGCCTGCTCCAATTCTTCAGGCATTCTTACCTTACCTCCCAAAACATTGTGTGTTCTTGAGTCTAACAAAACAACGCTTGGGAACACGCTGTGCACTTGTTTGCACTTTATGCTACATATGATTAAAAGTGCATCGCATTGATTACCTTGAAAACTCTATGAATCCTAGTTACAGCTTGTAGATAATAAGGCAAGCCTAAATATTATTACATCCTAGAGCCATTGCAGGCAGATATGATTTCTAATTTTGAAATCCACGGCCAAGATACTGGAGTGTGACGGGTACATTTATTTAGAATCCCTCAAAATATTTCCCGCCGATCAATTCGTTGTAGTGGAAAGAAGTGGTACGGACAATGCGTTGACAGAGACGGAGGGGCCAACGAGCACAGCATCTAGCCAGCCCACCCCCTCCGTTACTCCTCTGTCAAACATGTGCACCACTCCTGGCAATATGGGCACAGGATTTGGGTATACCTGGTCCTTTGGTGGGCCAGGTGCAGAAACCCGAGAAAATGCACAGGCCGAACTTAATACAAATATTAGTTATGCCGTGAACAATAATCAGGACCAAGGATCCAGTCAGAAGATACAAGTTGACATTAAACCAACAAAAATTGCTAATAGCACTCATCGTAGACCAATGTTCAGTATGAATGAAACTTGTCAACAAACTCCAACAACCCACCATGGCCATACAGCTGGAGCTCATAATCAAACGCATGGCACACATGTTCGTAATAAGAAACATCACGATGTATTTTCGTTGACATGCGACAAAGGGGGTTGTAATTGTGATGCAGCACATCCGACACCTCCACCTTCCCTTTTCTCGAACACTTTAGTTTTTACTACAGCCGATAAGCATGCTATGAGTAAGCATTTTATGACACCCCTTGGACCGCTACAACTCACGGCGGAAGAGTGCAATGAAATTTTAATGAAAAGAGCAGCAGCTGCGTCGAATCAAGCTAATGTAAACAATGTGGCTACCAGCCAAACAGATACCACAGCACATTTTGGGCACGTTTTAACGCATGTCAATACCACGCAAATTGAGACAAAGGTAAAACAGCAACAAGATATGGGAAGTCAGGTTCGTGTACCAAAAGAACGACCATATTCTTGTTCGGAATGTGGGAAGTCTTTCCTTCTCAAACATCACCTTACAACCCATGCGAGAGTTCATACAGGAGAACGACCTCATGTTTGCGTGCATTGTGGAAAAAGTTTTGCGCACAAACATTGTCTTCATACTCACCTGCTTCTGCATAGTGCAGACCGACCTTATCAATGCCTTGAATGTAAAAAGTCTTTTACATTAAAACATCACCTTGTAACACACACGCGTGTACATACCAGAGATCGCCCATTTATTTGTCAAGAATGTGGAAGAGCATTTCCACTGAAGCGTCATCTGGTGACGCATAGTAAATTTCATTCAGGGGAAAGACCTTTCGTTTGCGAAGAGTGTGGAGAATCGTTTTCGCAAAAGGATCACCTCACAATGCATTCGCGCTTCCATGGCAGTTTAAATCCGTTTGTTTGTCAAGATTGCGGAGCAACCTTCCAGAGAAAGTTTGAGTTAGTGAATCATGGTCGCTTACATGGCAGAGTTCCACATTCGTGTACTGTTTGTGGGAAAGAATTTTTACAAAAAAGAACATTGTTAGCACACATGCGTTTACATACAGGAGAAACTCCATTTGCTTGTACCGTTTGTGGAGAAGCGTTTCCCCGGAAAACAGACTTGGTTGCCCATTCTAAGATTCATAATAATAAGATGGCAGCAGATGATAAATCTCTTATGTGCAGGTACCTCTTTATCATGAAAATTGTCTGTTTGCCTTGTCATATGCTAATAGTAAATTTATTCTTACAGGGAATGTGGATTGGATTTCTCGAATCGAGAAGCTCTTAATCTGCACTTGAGGTTACATTCTGGTGATCGAGCGCTTGTTACGGATCTCTGTGGGTTAGCCGCTGCCTTCCAACAAACTCCTGGACACTTCCTTACTCCCAACACCACTGGAACTCATCAGGTATTATATATATATACATATATACGCATTAGCTTAAATCGTGAATCTTGTATGATATAGCTGAAGAATTTGCAGATGAATGGACCGATTGGAAATCCCGGTGTTAGTCACATGCATGGTGCGACGCAAACGTCGCCGCCAGTCGGAACAGCCCCGAAGCCAAAACCGCACATTTGTCCTGATTGCGGTCGTGGTTTCGTACAGAAGCATGGTTTGTCTCAGCACCAGCGACGTCACTCGGACGGCAGTTGCCATATAAAATCACATGTTTGCGATAAATGTGGCAAGGCCTTCTATCAGAAAAATCACTTGTTGTTACACCAGCGCCAGCACATGGATCCTCCACCGAGTATACTTCGGCAACAACAAAGACAAGCCGCGCAAGCTGCTGCTCAACAAGCGCAACAACAACAGCAGCAACAGCAGCAGCAAACGTGCACTGTAGATACAAAAACGATACAACTGCAGGCGATACAGCAGCAAGTGCAACAGCAGGTCCAACAACAAGTACAACAACAACAGCAGCAGCAGCAACAACAAGTACAGCAGCAACAGGTGCAGCAACAGCAGCAACAGCAAGTTCAACAGCAACAACAACAAGTGCAACAGCAACAACAAGTGCAACAGCAACAGCAAGTGCAACAACAACAACAACAGCCGCAACCACAACAACAGCAAACGTGCACGGTAGATACAAAAACGATACAACTGCAGGCAATTCAGCAAGTGCAACAACAAGTTCAGCAGCAGGTACAGCAACAAGTACAACAGCAGCAGCAACAGCAACAACAACAACAGCAACAAGCGTGCTCTGTGGACACTAAAGCAGTACAGTTAAATGTTACTATGTGAGACGATATAGAAAGTGGGGATTGGTTGGTCCCTGGAACAATAGCACTCCCAAATGCGCACCCTGCTGCCACCCTCTGCACGCACTTCTCTTGTACTAACATTACACATTAGATATATTTATTATCTCTAGAATCGAATACGAAGTAATCAATTTTAATACAAGAGTATATATATATATACATATATATATATACAAATACAAAGTATACATATTATATTCTAAATATGTAAGGCTTGTAACAAGAAAATAAAAATAACCGTATATTAGTGTTTTACATATACTTTATATATCATTTATTCTAGATATGTAAAATGAGACTAAACAAATTAGTTGCCTTAATGAGATAAAGAATTTTAATGAATATATTAACTATTGTTTGGTGACCTTTTTTCTTTTCTTTTTTTTTTCATTTACTTTTAATTAGTAGGACATCACTTTATAAGAAAATACATATTGAATAAACAAACATAACAAAAGTAAGTTTTTTATGTACTACTGCTTTGTTGTTATCCTTCATGCTGTGCTTGTATGGTGGAAGTCGAGAGAAATGTTTGATCGTATGAGTGATTATTAAAAAAAAAAAAATGAATATTGTAGAATGCATCAAGAAAGAGGAAGAGGGTGGCAGACATAGCGCATTTACGGAGCATTTAAATTATAAGTCTGCCCGAGTAAAATGGTGTTTTTAAACGTATTTTTACGTTATACGACTCGCGCAATTTGTTTAACAAATTTTAGAAAATTAAGAGCGCAAAAATATTACAAAGTTTATATTCCATTTAATGGATATTACTAACTTTATAAATTTCAAGATTCGTGTACATATCGAATCGTTAAAACGTTTCGTTAATTTTTTTTTTTTTTATATATGATCGTAGCCTTTGAATTTCTTAACTTCTGTACTTTCTTATGTTCTCAACTTTAACTTTTTTTTACTTTACAGTAACCGTGATAATGTGTGCGAAAAGCGTTTCGCAAGTTTTCGCAAAATCATTCAGCATAGCGAACTTTTGTAATAGTTTTGTCAGAGATATGTAATAGCTAATAGAATTGCGCAAAGAAATGAAAGAAGTAATAAAGGTAGCTTTCCTACATAGTTTAAATATACATATATTTACATATATATTTTTTTTCCAGATGAACACAAATGCGCAGCACAAAAATGAAACATCAGATTCAAACGAGAACAAAAGAATATGTATTATAAAATGAGCTTTTGACGTGCCTTTTTTCCGCGATCGAGGTAACTTTCCTTTTCCCGCATTCCTGTTATCTAATCGTAACAAATACGTTCAGGTACAAGTATTTGATAATATTCAGGTTTCCATATTTAATTTGTTAAAATCGAAAACTATTATAATGATCAGTACTTTTTAAATTACATATACCACGTAGATTTAATATTCCCACAAAAAAACCGATGTCAAGTCTACATTTTATCCTCAAATTACATTCTTTCTATTCACATCAAATAATTCGATGGAACTTTCTCGTTAGAAATCGTGTTTATTCTTTACGTATTTTTATTATTCCGAAATTTCCCGCGTCGCATTAGTCCGATATTGCAATAAAAAAGAAACGATAACGTGGTTAGGAGCGACCTCTGGCGATGTTGTCCGGAAAGAGCCGAAGCCCAATTGGCGCATGCGCGCGGGTCATCGTATATCGTCCCGCCTGCGGACGAACCGAAATAAATCGAACGACGCCGAGCCGATCAGCAGTACGGTGCTCGCTGGATGCGACTGTTTCGCGTTAGTGATGATCAAAACGAGCCGTCGTCGTCGTTGTTTGTGGCATTTCGCGAAGACGAAGAAGCCGTGATCCGTGATCAAAAGTTTCAGGAGAAGAAGAGGCCGAGGGCACACGTCGTCGTTCGTTGTCGCGGCCACGGATGCATATGGAGGTGCGTAAACCCTTGTTTCGATGCACCCTCTTCTTATGCACGCGTTCGTTGTTTGTTTTGACAACACCGTACACACTTTGATTAAACTTTACTCCTGTTTTTCATCGTGTTTTTCGTGTGTCATCGTGTTCGATCGAATTTACCATCTATCAAAAAGAACAATCCAAAATGCAACGATTTACCAACCGGAATTATTATTGACGATATCCGCGTTCACCTCGAGGATCGTTACTCGCGAGACCCTTTAATTTTTTACATTGTTTCGTCGTTAGTTATTGAGCATGGTGTATAGACAGAGTTTTAAGAATCCGTCCATAACTTTCCATTAGGTTCGTGCTTCGAATCGCGCATAGTATTTTTTTCTAATTGCATGTATTTTTAACGTGCAGTCGTTCGGATCATCGAAATAACGTTATGCGTCGGGTTAAACAACTTTATATTAATTTTTCACGGTGTAGAGTTCTCGCATGGAAACAGACCGAAGATCGAGATTACGTGCGCATACGGCATCAGACTTTGTGTACGCTCTCAGCTGACGGGAGCCTGTCAGCTGCCTTCACGAAAGATCAGGGCCGTCGTTTGCTGGCGTCCGACACGGGTTTTCCCCTGCACTCTGTTGTCATAGAATTTTCCAATTCTATGACGTAGAATTTCAAATATTTATTTCATTTTTAACTTAATTCGATCGCGTGTTCTGTTGAAAGCTTTTCTTTGCTTTAGTAACAGTGCTAAATCTGCCATATCGAATAGCTCTGTCGTCACGTCCGCACGTGTGTGCGTAGGACAAAAGTTGCGTTGTCCCTTTATTAATTAAAAATTGTATATCTAGCATTATTTTATATGTTATATATCTAGAACGTTCCGGGAATTACGATATTCCTGACTTACCGTGCCTTTGTCTGCATTTTTTGCTGCAAATCATTTTTAATCTGTTGCAGTGTCAACGACACTGCAGTTCGCACGCGCTTTCTGATTCAGATTCCTAATTCCCATGTTCCTAAATTTTCAACAACGTTACTAGTGTATGTGTACTAGTTTTTATCTGTATTTATTTCCAGAATCATTTTTAATCTATTGCAATGTCAACGACACCGCAATTCACACGCGGTTTCTGACGATAAATTGTCACTGATACTCAAACGACGGCAATATTACTAGATAATACACGCTGCCTTGTTTTGTACACACTCACAGCTGATTCAACCGCTGCGTCATAAAAACGTTTCAACTGTTATCTTTTACTGTACGTACCCTTGCGACGTATTGAACAGATGCGAGAGACTTCGTCGTAGTAAAAGAAACTTTTATTTAATAATTTCTACTTACTAAGTGACTTAAAAATTTGATTAGACATAGCTGTTAATATATTTGGAAAAATATAGTGAAACTGAAATAAATTATTTCTTATTAAATTTACGAACGTTTGCCTTTTTCTCAAACGTTCAATTCTCCTTTTACTTTCTATATATTCTTATTTTTATATTCTTCCATCGTAGGTTTGCACGATCGAAACGATAATTTCGCTTTCATGTTACCTCTATATTTGTTCTTTATTCTAAGGCATATAACGCTCTGTGGTAAGGTTAAGCGTTAGAGAGGGAGGGAGAGAGAAAGAGAATTGACGTAACTACTTGTCAGTCTTTCCAACCGTCAAACTTCTATCGATTTTTCTCTCGTAAATATTTGGTGAGGTTAACTAACAGGCTAATTCGACGAGATCGACGTTATCGACGGAAACGATTCGACAGTGATGCTTCTGTTTCATTTATGTCAGTGTTGGGCAGATGAAGTGCCCGTGAAAATGTTCGCGGATCCCGACATGCACTGTGCATTATAAAATGGCGCGGGATATTGAAATTTTTCAAAATCACAAACCAGGAAGTTGTAAATTTAATAAGATAGAAATGTGTAATTTTCAAACGAAGAAATTTACTACTCATGAGTGGTTGCGAGTGCACGTCCGTGCATCGCGGTTTCGCGAACGCAGTTGCCCATCGTTCATTTATATCGTATCGATCGCAATTTGTTTAACCACGGGTTTCTTGAGTTGAACCGAGGTGCCTTTCGAATTTAATAGACCGAGAACCGTTGTATGAGGACGCGTATACAAGGTGCATATTAAAGTGCAATTCGCTTTGAAAGCGACATCCGTCGCGGCATCAGGACGCTTACATGGAAAATTAAATATGCGCGACGAGTGACGAAGGACGATGACCCGAATTAACTAAACTCGAAGCTGCTGTGCGCGCTTGTTCCTCTCTCGGGTGTTTATTTAAGTTACAGTGGTGTAGCCTCGCGCGATTCCTGTCTAACCAGCGGAGCTGGAGTCGCGCGACGACTTACACGAGGAAACTAACTTGGTATTCGTGCTCGCTACCGATACACCCATACTAATTTTACTTTTCCACCAGAAACCACCGTTTCCTGTTACGATATCGAGCAGAAAAATGAAAACAATCTTGTAATTATCTCTTCGTCCAATTTTATTTTATATTAATTACTTAAATTGTATTAAAAATATTTCAAATATTTTTTTTTAATCCTCACATGAAAATTGTTATTGTTTCATAACAAAAGATTATAATCTCGTCGAAAAATAGTGAAAATAAAATTTCAAATTCAAATCCATCTGTCATAACAGTGTCGTAATAACCGCGTAACATAAAACGATCGTTAAAAATAAAAAAAAAGAGAAACTCTCTTAATTAGCAGCAATTAGTAGTTAATTGGCGTTAGTGAATCAGAGCTGGTCACAGTTCGGTGCCTCGAATTTGCGCCAACTTTTCTAATTCGAGCGGAAACGGTATTATAATTAAACGACATTTTGAAAACGTAGAGTGTGGTTGGTAAGAACGCGTGGGACCTGTTGGACGACGCTTTTGTGTACGTTTACAGCTGATTGGGCTGTCAGCTGAGCTGTGCGCGATAGAATCGTCGGCAGGCTGGCCAACGCACGTTCCAGAATGCTCAGAGGGGGCCTTGTTTTTCTCGTATTATTTTTTTCTTCTCTCCACTTTTTCCCTGCAGAGGTTGTCGTGCTGTGCGACGCCAAGCCAACCAGGGCAATTGCTCTTGCAATCTTTAAACTTATCCCTC